ATTTTGCTCCACCTATCTTGAATTGTGTGTCATTTTTTCTGAGTTATTCCCATGTAAATGGTATATACGATTTTTGTAAGAAATATGTGATTCATATTTTTCGATCTATCATTTTACAGAAGAAGCAAAGTATGACGTATTTTACTACAATTTTTGGAAGTTTTTTCATCTCAAACTCGATAGAAGTATAGAACTGCCCACTAAAATATCAGCAAAAAGCACGTTTGGTAATACCCATATCGACTGTATTTGTTGATGCTGCTGAAACTTATGAAGTTCTGTCTAAAGTGGTTGGATTGGCTTATTTTGTTGATTTATGAAAAAATTAAATTTAAAATATATGTTATTAATAGAATAAAGAAAAAATCATATGGAAAAACAGTTAAAATGATCCTTTATAGTAACTTTAGCCAATAGAGCCAGAAAAGTAACTTTAACCTTACTTTTTCATTTATTACACAATTTATCGCGTTAAATCAAAACTTACGTGTTTGGTGAAAAGTTGGTCAATAACTCGAAAAACGGAGTCACGAAACGGGCTCTAAATTCTCACCGTCCACAAAAACAGAAAAAATTAGAAGTTAGTTGGCGAACATAAAGAAAGTGAATATATGAGAGTAGTAACTATCAGAATAAGATAAAAATCGAATATAAAATTTCAAAATTTTGATTCTATCATGATATGATTAATATATACATCATACCTATTCATTTGTCCCTATTTTGTTTGTGACAATTGTTGTTTACGTAAGGTGCTAGAAATTTAGCAGCCAAGGCTAGAAGTGAACAAATTTGACATGTTATATGTGATCCAAATCTAAAATTAAGTTGACATTGACATAAGATTACATATGATCAAATTGATATCTTTAAAAACAATATGAGAAGAGTTTTCATAGATCATCTCTGCAACGGTAATAACTTGAACACCCTCGATTGTAATGGTGAGAAGGTTCTGGGACACAGCTACGGGTATATGGTTTACCAGGACCCCCACTGTTGCACACTGGCTCATCCCGTGACAAGGCTCCGGGTGTGATATGTTTCCTATGCACTTTTTCGACATATCCCCGGTGAATAATTCCCGGCGACTCCGTATTGTCGTAATTAGCATTGCACTCGGCTATCGAGCCGTTACATTGTGGCCGTACACGGTCCGAGACCGCTATGCTTGAGCCCAACGAGGAGGGATAATAATGGGTAGCAATGAGGTAGAACAGGAGGGGGTGGATGAAGTTTCTTGGTTTCATTTTTTTCTTTGAAAGGGCTTTATTTGGTGTATAAGGACTTGATGAGTAGATATTGGATTGAGATTTGTGCTCTTATTTGTGACACAATTTTGTACCAAATAAGTGATTTGGGGAGAAGTATCTATCTACATCGGTTTTGAGGACAGAAGTTTTGGCAAAAAAAACTATACGTAGTGGTTTTCAAACTCACACAACTACCAAAAAAACAAATTCATATATCTACTCCCCATTCACATTTTCTGTTTGCAGCAGTGAAGAATTGAGCCCCTTTTATATCCAAAACCCACCACCTTCACATTTAATGTGTTTAATAGAAAGTAGGAAAATTTGCACAATTTTGAAGGTTAAGTCTTTTGAACAGCACCTTGAGTTTAATGAGAAAGGACCAAGGATGAAAGATATTTGCTTCAATTATGGAGGCCAGAATAGCTTAGTTGACCTTCTCTTTTTTTAATATAATATAGTAGCTTAGATAAATTTTGTGAATCTGCTTCCATTCATTTGATTTAATTTCAAGAGATCTGTTGCATGAAGCATGTTTTCGAATAAATCAATTGTCATTTTGGTTCATATAAGTTTGTTGTAATTACAGCTTTAGATCTGGAGTGAGAGCAAAGGAAGTTATTTCAGACATCCAGTTATTTAATCAAGGAGTTGTGCATCCTCGTTTAGTGTTGATGTTGAAAATACCAAAGATGTGACACTGAAAGCCCTTTTCTTAACGTTAAAACTGACTTTTTGAATTGATGAAGTTTTGAATGAAGCGACCGAATTGATTCATTGAATCTGTTAAAATTATTTAAAATATATTTCATTTATTAAATAAAGAAAAATGATATATAAATATAACTAAAATAATCATCTAAGTAACTATAACTAATTCATTTAGAAGTCATCAAACAAACCCTAAATTTGATAGCACTAATTTTTTATATTAAGCGGTGGGTCAATCAAACACGCGCGTTCTTGTCAGAGCACTAATTTCCTTGTGGACAATTGTGCTTGACTTTTAAACCATCATTTGCTTACTGATAATTAAAAATATTTATTTCGAAATAAATGAATAGACAAAAAGAAAGATCTGTAGTACTCCGTAGTACTCCGTATATAACTATATACTCCCTCCGTCCCAATTTGATTTGCAAAATTTCCTATTTTGATTGTCTCAAAATGGTTTTCCACTTTCTATTTTAGGTATGTAAATAAGAATAAAGTGACAAATTTACCCTTACTTTTACTTTTCCCCATTAACTTAAAGGCATCTACTTTTAGAAAAATGGGCAAAAGTGTAAAAATAAAAGATCATTTATTATCATTCCTTAATCCTTGTGCCGATCAAAGTTTGCAATTTAATTCGGGACGGGGGGAGTATGTCCCGAAAAGGGGACTTTTTGTGTAGAACGCAAAGGGCAATTTTACAAATTGTTATTTGACCTATTTCAATACCAAAAAAGTTTTTAAAAACAAAACCAAACAGTATAACTTCTATGCAAAGATGTTAAATGGGGTTATTCCCTGAATATTACTAAATTACTGTTGATTTCCAAAAATGTGATCATTTTTAATTACATTTGGACAAAAATGTGACTAAAATAAAGTGACGGTCGAATATTTATGCCACTGTCCATTTCATGTTACTGTCCGATGTCACTGCCAATCGTGGTCACCCTTGCCGCCTCATCGTGTCACTTCCGCCGCCATCGTTCATGTCACTGCTGCCTCCACCGCCGCCGGTCACCGCCCCGACCATAGTGACACCGCCATAGTGACACATCCAAAATGACACCTCTGTAGTGACACCGACCACAGACCATCTTCGTCGTTGCAGGCCACCACGGAGGTTGTCTCCGCCCGCCACCGCCCCGCAGTGCCAGTCCTCTCATCCCATCACACTCCACCGGCAACCCAAGCGCCTCAACCACCCCGCCATCCCATCACAGTCCACCATCGCCTACCACCATCCCATCACAGTCCACCACCGCCCCTGCTCGACCACCACCGCGGACTGCCGCCATTGACCATCACTGCCGACCGCCACCCCGCCCCAGGCTTGACTCCCCAGCACCCAGTCACCAGCCCCCGCCCAACCCACCAGCCCCCTGCCTAGCACCACCAGCCTATTTCCCCATCCCACTGCCCTCTTCCCCGTCCCACCGACCCCCCTTCCCGTCCCACCGGCCCCCTTCTACGTCCCACTAGCCCCCTCCCCAGCCTACCACCCCCTCCCCATCCCACCAGCCCCCTCCCCATCTCATCAGCCTCCTCTCCAGCTCACCAGCCCCCTGCCCACCAGTCCCCCTGTCCATCCCACTAGCCCCTCCCCAACTCACCAACCCCTTCCCCAGCCCACCAGTCCCCTCCCAGCCCCAGCCACCACTGTCCACAGCCACAATTCTTCCTGTAACTCACCCTAGCGCAACCCTAGCCGTTGACACCAGATCTAAATCCCTAACCAATCGAATCTATGTCGCAATCGAAGCAATCACACATGTAGAGACTAAGTCAATGTAGAAAAGAGAGGAAGAAGAGTTATGTCTCCAAGGTTTGAGACGCCATTGTCGTACCATAGCCGCTGCCATTGCCAAACCCTATCCGCCGCCATCGTCGTTTTTGTACTGAATCGTTGCCACCATCTCCGATGGAGAGGTCATGTCGGAGAAGAAGAACGATGGAGAGAGAAACACTCAAGCAGAGAGACGACGCACAGGGAGATGCGAAGAGATGGTCGACGATGGCCTAGAGAGATGGACGATGACAGCCTGGAGTGGAGAGATGGTGTCCTGCTGTGGATAGGCATGGATCGGGCCCAGGCCGGGCTGAGCTTCGGGCCCAGGCCGGGCCGGGCTGAGCTTCGGGCCCAGGCCGGGCCGGGCTCCGAACCGATTCAAGCCGAGCTTTTTTTTCAAGTTGTTGAGCCCGGAACCGGCTCGGATTGATACCGGGTCCGGGCCAAACCGGCCTGGTTCAATGTAATGTTTTTTTTGGCTTTCTAATTAATCCTCGACCCCCCCCCCCCCCCCCCCCTCCCTCACCGCCACCCCCCCAAACCCCCCCAAAACACCCAGCCCTACCCAAGGAAAAGGAAAAGAATTGAAAAAACAAAAAAATGGAGCAAGCACGTTCATTAAATATAGGGCCCGAGCCCGGCCCGCCCAAACTGCCCAAACCGTGCTAAAGCCCGGAACCACCACTCTCCAACCGATCCGGTCCAGGCCTGAACAGTACCGGGCAGGGCCGGTTGCCGGGCCAGTTCAGCCCGGTTGAGTCCACCCCTAACTGTGGAGTTGTTATGTCCACAAGCATAGAAGGAAACTTGGTACCTGGCTTTGTTCACAGAGGACGAATGAAAGAAACAAACAAATAAGAAATGGGGTCACTTTTTTGTCAAACCAAAATTTAGTCATATTTTTGTCTCATAAAAGTTGGGAGGTAATATTTATGTCATTCTTTCATGTTAAATCAGTTACCGATTTTATAAAATTTACTCCTATATTTTTAAAAAAATGGTATTCCTATTTTTAACATACCAATGATACCGTATTGATGATTGATATCCGATCCAGCGCAACAAAATAAACACAATTCCATATATTAAGATTACTTTGGTCTTATTTCAAAAAAAAAAGATTACTTTGGTTTTCGATTATGCTTAATCTTAAATTTAAAAGTACCCCTAGCAGTATTAATAAGAATCATATTTGAAACAACGAATACAAAACACATTAGTCATGAATTCATCATAGCATACACGTGATAATGCAATTCAGAAAATGAAAAAGATGATTTATTATAATCAAGGGGGAAAAATAGAATCATACTTTAATTCATCACCAGCATTCCCAAATTGATACATTAAGAATGGCACCAAAGGACAAAAATACACGGTTAGTTTGATTTTAAATGAAGTTTCCACACCTCTCGAACATTAGATGAACCATCTGCAATCTCGCCCACAAGAACGGCCTTAAAAACACCTGTTGAAGTGGGAGAGCTCGATATCAATGGATAGTAATTGAAAGTGTTATATTAATACCACAAAATAGATAAATAAACAAATTGTTCACACCTCCTTGTGTTTATTACACAATCAAGTTTTTGTGGCTTAATTAGGCAGCTCATCCATACTTAAAATTCATTTTGCTTCATTTTTAAATGGGTGATGCAATCATGCAAATGAGAACAATTGGTAGCAACATCATGCCAAGTAAATTAAAAGTATAGGAATTTGTGTTCTGCAGGCAATGCCTGGATTTATTTATGGTTCTGAAGCAATTCTGAGGTTGCATTAAGCATTATTCAGAGAGGAACCAATTGTAAGCAATACATCCAATTGAACACATCTAGTCACAAGTTGAGTCAGATAAACTGATAAATTATAGTTCGTATATCTTTTGACTGCAAGATAGAGCAAGATCAAAATCTCCCTTGTTTCAAGAGTCAGACGCTCAATCCCTCCTAACTAGGACAAGTAAAGCCGGTCCGGTTCTTGGGTCAAATGACCAGCCGACTTTGTTGCCTATTTTTAAAAACAGGACTGGGACAGACTTATCCAGTCCTATTTTGGAAGTACTGGAACTGGGTTGGCATCGGATTACCGGTACCTTGTGGAACAGTAAGAAAACCTGTCTGTCCCCAAACTGGGACAGTCCATGCCTACTTATAAGTGTGGGCAGGTGGATGGATTGCAATGAACAAACCATTAGAAGGTCACAGTTCTCCTAAAAAGATAACATCATAAGAACAAAGATCAATACTTTACCATTCAAGACCTGCTGAGATCGAATAGCTATTATAAAGTAGTTGAAAAGAAAAAGATGTAGTGGAGATTTGGGTTGAAGCAAGAGGAATGACAAGAACCACGGACATCACTATTTAAAATGAAGCATAAACATTATTTTGGCACCAACAAAGAGAAAAACGAGAAGCTTTTTATAGACAGAAGGAGTAAAAACTTTCAAGTGTGAAATGCTGCAATTGTGTATCTGTCAACTAATTGAAAGGTAATGATGGCAAAAGAGATGTGCAATTGTAAATACAAGTACCTCAACTACAGCATCACAGAGATTTAGAGAGTAATAGAGTATCATGGCAATACTGGTTATGAGTATCATTTAATTTAGAGATTTCCCTTTAGAATTGATCAATATTTTAAGGAAAATGGAGGAGTTAAGAAACGACTATGTTTGGTTCAACAGAGAGAACATTTATTGTTAAAAGTAGGAATATTATATTTGACATGCTCTGTGTAATTGATAATATATAGTACTCTAAAGTCTAGAATAAAATCTTGGAAGATATATAAAGATAATGATAAAGGAAATAAAAAAGTTAATGCACCAAAAGAACCCCCACCCACCTCCCTCCCTCCCCAAATTGTGAGAAGGATATGAAGAGTTTAGAGGACTCCAAAGCTCATCCACTTTCCTCCCCCATACACCAAAATTCCCCAAACAAAACTAACCCCTTCACTTTCCTCTCATTCACCCCGAAGTCCTCTAAGGCTCCAACCAACCCCAATCAACGGCTTACAAAAATGTCAAGCAAAAGACCTAAAGTTAAAACCAATTGAATGATCTCATCCATATGATGCATTTCCTAATAAGAAAAACAAAAATCAGAGAAGTTCTACTTCCATCACACTATTGCATATTCACATCACCTTTCTATCAAGAAACAGCAATCAATTTAACATATAATTTACAGGAATACCGATGCTAGAGCAAAAGGATTACCATGTTTCTCCACCATTGAAACAAATCGTCTTGATCCCCCGCCAACTCCAAAGTAATGCTTTTTAGCAGCTACATAGACCACTCCATGAGGACTACTTGTGCACTGTAAAATAAGGCAATGAGCCCAAGAATAAAAACAACCCTTCCAAAAAACACTCAATATATGAATAATTGGGAACCTTTTCAATAAGTTTATAAAGACTGGGGAGTGCAGACATCGAATACACTGTTTCAGCCATGAGAATTATATCATAACATGCAGTGCCATTCACAGTTTGACCCTCGCTTATATCATTATCATTATCATCAGTAAGAGGAAGAATGCAGTGGATGTCACCCCAGTCCCCTGCAAAGTAACGCAGTTCAGCCTCAGAACTCCATTTTACTGAGGATATAGCCATTTGCTGGGTATTGGCATTTACATTTGGAATGGTGAGACACCGCAGGACCTCAGCATTAAAATCCTGGAAATGCACAGCAGCAGCAGCCTAATACACCATAGAGAAATTTAAACCGGTGTCAACGTCAAGCATTGTTGTTAGGGAAAGGGGGGATTGCAATTCAAGCCCTTCACTTGTTCACCAGTAGTATTTTAATTTTTTTTGTCCCTCAGAACTGTTCATAACATAGTCTTTTTTCTTTTTTTTCATAACATAGTACTTCCTAATTTGTCTCAAATGGCACTTCTAATCCTTTCATTAGCACACGGTTAATTTGCCCCATCGATTACCAGCACCAACTGGTTTAAACTTTTATAACATTAAAATACGCGGAGAGTCGTATTAACATTTTTCTATAAACTATAGCTGAAGTAGATATTTATTAACCTAACGGATAATCCCTTCTTCCCATTTCAACGTTCCAGGTTCAGTTAAATACTTAAATATGGTTGAATGATGATAAAGTTAAGTCTTCCTTAATAAAAATATACTACCTCCGTCCCCCTACTATTGGGACGGAAGAGAGTGGTGTGGTTTTAAGAAAAGTAGAATTATGTGGTTGATAATGAGTTGGATAAAGTGGGAATGAAGTAAGAATGAATTAGAGCCACACAAATATTACCAATATGGTACGAGACAAATTTAGTGAGACAGACGGAAAAGGGAAAATTATATTGGGGTGGAGGGATATATTAGTATAATAAACTAAAATCTACATGTTCAGAAACTTTGCTATAAATATTATTCAATCACAAAAAAAGTTAAATATAATTTAAGTTAGTTAGATAAAAATATGATTTAATCCTTCCATCATTTGCAATGGAACCAAAGACTCACTATTTTTTGGCTTGGAGATATGATGGAATAAAGCAAAGTGGCTCAATAAACTGCTCGCGCTTCTTTGTTATGAAGCGCGAATCAGTCCATGCAATTTTCGATGTGATTCTCACTATGGGTCATCCGGAAACCGTCTCTTTGTGCTTTAGTATAGGGGTAAGACTGCTTACATCCGACCCCCCTTACCCCACCGAAGGTGGGAGCCTTTGCGGCACTGGGGTAATGATGATGATGAGATAAAAATATTATATAATATTATTAAATAAAATAAGAGATTAGAATAAAGTTCAATTGAGTGTGCAATTAGTGTATGGGAACCTCAGATTGGGACAGAGCTAGTATTAATTATTAAATGTTAATAATAATAGTAACAATTATAGTAATAATAGTACTAATATTCATCATAATAGTAATGAATAATGATAATAATAGTAATAATAATAAGGAAAAATTGATTGTAATTGTGAAAGTATTATTGTATCTAGGAATATGCTTTAGGAATATGCTCTAGAATATGCTTTAGGAATATACTCTAGACATTATTATTGTATAGCATCTTATATAGGAATATTCCATCTTTGTAATATATATATAGGGCCTTAACCCTTTAATGAAATACACAGAAAATCCTTCTCTCCATTTTAATATCATTTCAGTTTCTGTTCGAGTACTGGTCGGTATCTTGTTTCTATTGATGCATCATTTCATGAAAATACACCTTTTTCATCATCCAAGGCAGATATTCGTGAGAGTAATGATGATATTCTCATTTACACGATGACTATTCCCGAGTCCACACTTTCGACAAATATTCCACAAGTTACTGTTCATGACCCTAGGCCTCCCGTACATTTGGTATACACCCGTCGACACAAAGCACCTGATCACCCTCCACCGGCGATACCTGTGATTACTTTTCCTGATACTAGTTCGACTCCGATCTCATGTCCTGAACCAGTATCTGCATCTTCAGCTCTTGATTCCACATCAGATCTTGATCTCCCAATAGCAGTACGTAAAGGTACACGGTCTTGTACTCATCCTATTTCTTCATTTGTGTCGTACAATCAGTTATCTCCTGCTTCAAGTTCTTTTATTGCTTTCATTGATTCTATTTCTATTCCCAAATCTGTCAAAGAAGCTTTGTCTCATCCTGAATGGCGTCAAGCCATGGTAGAGGAAATGAATGCTTTAGATCTTAATGGTACATGGAATTTGGTTGACTTACCTACAGGGAAGAAATCTATTGGATGCAAGTGGGTCTTTGCTGTTAAGGTTAACCCAGACGGATCTGTTGCTCGGTTGAAAACCCGATTAGTTGCGAAGGGTTATGCTCAAACCTATGGTGTTGATTATTCTGACACTTTTTCTCCTGTTGCTAAATTAACATCTGTCAGGTTACTTATCTCACTCGCTGCAATTCATGATTGGCACTTACATCAGTTGGACATTAAAATGCATTTTTGCATGGTGACCTTAAGGAAGAAGTCTATATCGAGCAACCTCCGGGATTTGTTGCTCATGGGGAGTATGGTAAAGTTTGTCGACTTCGCAAATCTCTTTATGGTCTGAAACAGAGTCCTCGTGCATGGTTTGGGAAATTCAGTCAATCAATTGAACAATTTGGAATGATAAAAGGCAAATCAGACCACTCTGTCTTTTACAAACAAACAGAATCAGGTGTCACATTGCTTGTGGTATATGTTGATGATATTGTGATTACAGGGAGTGATAATGCAGGTATTTTGGCCCTTAAGAATTTTCTGCATAGTCAATTCCAGACGAAAGATCTTGGCTCTTTGAAATACTTTCTGGGAATTGAGGTAACACGAAGTAAGAAAGGCATATTTCTATCTCAACGTAAATATGTACTTGACTTACTAGCTGAGACAGGGAAATTAGGGGCAAAACCAAGTACAACACCCATGGTTCCCAACGTGCAACTCACTCAAGAAGGCACACCGTTTGAAGACCCAGAAAGATATAGAAGACTGGTTGGAAAGCTTAATTATCTCGCAGTCACCCGTCCAGATATTGCTTATTCTGTGAGTGTAGTGAGTCAATACATGTCATCTCCGACCATTGATCATTGGGCTGCTGTAGAACACATATTATGTTACTTAAAGGGAGCACCAGGACGAGGTATTGTTTATCAAAACCATGATCACATGAGAATAGAATGCTTTGCAGATGCTGAGTGGGCCGGTTCTAAAGATGATCGAAGATCTACATCTGGCTATTGTGTCTTTGTTGGTGGTAATCTTGTATCCTGGAAGAGTAAGAAACAGAATGTGGTTTCTCGTTCTAGTGCTGAATCAGAATATCGAGCTATGGCACAATCCGCATGTGAGATAATATGGATACACCATTTATTGAATGAAATTGGATTGAAGACACCAATGCCTGCTCAGTTGTGGTGCGATAACCAAGCTGCTATACACATAGCAAACAACCCCGTATTTCACGAGAGAACAAAGCATATTGAGGTTGATTGCCATTTTATTCGAGAGAAGATACAAAAAGGATTAATCTCTACCGGGTATGTGAAGACCGGAGAACAACTTGGAGATTTATTCACTAAAGCTCTAAATGGGATTCGAGTTGATTACTTATGTAACAAGTTGGGCATGATAAATATCTATGCTCCAACTTGAGGGGGAGTGTGAAAGTATTATTGTATCTAGGAATATGCTTTAGGAATATGCTCTAGAATATGCTTTAGGAATATACTCTAGACATTATTATTGTATAGCATCTTATATAGGAATATTCCATCTTTGTAATATATATATATATAGGGCCTTAACCCTTTAATGAAATACACAGAAAATCCTTCTCTCCATTTTAATATCATTTCAGTTTCTATTTCAACAGTAATAATCCCAACTATTGGCGGTCCGCTTGTAATAATCTCAACTATCGATTGTCTCAGAATAATCCCAATTTTAGCGACCTTCCGCCAATAATGGTCCGACATGACCGGCTATAAATAAATTCTTATAGTTTCTAAAGTGAATGAGAAGAGATATAACAAGTAATCCCTATAAATAATTCAACTTTTAATTCTTATGCTTTATTTCTATTTAAAATTCACTTTTTATAGCAGGTCATATCTGGTCATGGACCATTATTGGCGGAAGGTCACTAAAGTTGGGATTATTCTGAGATAATCAATAGTTGAGATTATTATAAGCGGACCGCCAATAGTTGGGATTATTACAATCAATTTTTCCTAATAATAATAATTGAGTTCAATTATCAATTTTCAGATAAGAAAAGACCACTTTCTTCTTTGATGTTTTTTTAATTGTTATAACTTAGTAAAAAGTAGGAAGGAATCATGGTTACAACATTTGGTTGGACAAATTAACAAAGTGTATTAAATAAGAGGACTAAAAGTCCATTTCCAGAAGAGCTGAAGTCCTAATTATGCTATGGACACTTCTGGGACTAAAATGACTAGTGGCAAACATTTATGGGACTATAATATAAATTTCCTTTAAATAAAATCACATTCAATTACACCTGAGAGATGGCAAATATCCCAGGAAGTCCATGACCACAACCAAGCTGAAACATAACCAAATCAAATTAGTTGCATTGATCAATTGAGAGAATAAAAGTATAAATAGTGCCCAATTCCATCATACGATATTGTGAGTGACAGTGTCCATAGCAACTTCCCTTTAATCAATTTATTGGCACTTCTCTAGTATAAATGAAATAAGATTTGGATACAATTATAACAGAATTGCTCCCAAATTTTGTATTACCTACATCCTTGGGACAGCAATGAATAAAGAGGAGAACAGCATAGGGCATAAGGAGCACTAGAGCAGGAACCAGAATTATAGTTGTTACACGCTTCTTCCTAAGAAACGTCATGAGCAGTGATTAATGTCTATTTGAATTGTTTCTCATATACTTGTCCTTATAGATTCCACTGGAGTAATTATGGTGCTTTGGTGAAAAAAAGTCATCAAAGAAAAGTCATGCACAGTGATAAATGTCTAATTGCATGGTTTATTTTGTTTATACTTGTCATTAATTTGCCTTAAGTAATTAATAATTATGGAGCTTTGGTGACAAGAAGGTAATTGATTGCACACAATGAATTACATAAACTATTCTCCAGCTATGATTTCACACACCTAGTGCAGTAGGTCTTAGTGTCTTCCAGTATCTTTTTAGTGACTTTTTTAAATGAGTGCAATAAACATGTTCAATCACAAAGGAACTTTTTTAACCTTTGTTTTACTTTGGGGCAAAGATTTCTAATGTTGTGCCAAATATGCAATATTAACCCCAGTATCAAGTCCATGCAATGTACAACAGATTGAGTCCTACCTTGCTAGAGTCAAATGCAATTTTGGCCTTTCCCTAAGAGATGATAATGTCAAATTCCCTCAGAATCATGAACTCACCTCTAAAACTCTCTTTCCAATGAATGACAGTTTTTCCTCTTTTACTTCTGAGTTGAGAATTTTCACAAGATCTAATGAACCTTCCCAGAGTTTGAGCCCTCCTAACAAAAAACCGTTAAATCAGAAAGGAACTTGTATATAAAAAAATAATTGATTGTAGAAACCCTTCAACCTTTATTGCCATGGCTATTTAGCTTTAGAGATGGTAGATAGATTCAATGTTTCAGTAAGCACTAAATTGACATGAAGGCATTAATAAAAATGCTTCAAAACTTCATAAAAATGACAATATGTTTTACATTAAAATATTGAATATCTATACTTCTTCACATATGTTTACCGGCAAATAATTCTATACTTCGATTCAACACTTCCACACATATCAGATTTTCAATGTGGCACCAAAAGAAATGCATGAATTTTGTTTGGTGCATGTCATATCAAATTTTCAACGTGGCACTGAAAGAAATGCATGAATTTGTGTTTGGTGTGTTCGTGTCTCTCTGAAGTAGAATGATTTCATCCACCATCAACATAAGATTTTCCATGATTTGCAACGGAGCCAAATACTCACTATTTTTTGGCTTGGGTCTTGCTATCATTTCTGGTCCTCATATTGCCACCATGCTTTCAATTAAATTGCTATACTTTTCATCTAAGACACTCTTTCCACACAATTAACAATAAAACAACAGAAAACCACACTGTTTAATAACATAGTTGATTGTATACAAAAAAAGTATGGGCCCCTGCCCCCTGATAAATGTAATTGCAATGTTATGTACTCCGTAATAATTTATTTATGCATGTAAACCTACAAAGTTCATGCAACTCGTACTGACCTTCATACTTCCCAGGGACTAAATCTGAATTGGATAACCCAAAAACTTCCTTGGTACTCACTCTTCCCTGATAAAGAAAACAAAGCAAACGTTAGCTAAACATTTTCCTGAACGGTGAAAATTACGCGAGCAAATTTAAAACAGAGCCGGTTCTGGGGCATGGGCAAAGGGGCATCTGCCCAGGGCCCATTGCTCCACTAGGGCCCATAAATTTCATAATTATGTGTATATGGATATATATTAATATTAATTATATATACATAAAAATCTATAAAAATAAAAAATAAAATCAAAGTTATATTGTTTTTATACTTTCAATTCATTTTTAAAATGTCCACATCAGAATTCATTTAGAACGTACTTCACCATTTCTTTTGATTTGTTATGGTTTAGCGCATAAATGTTCTTTTGGTCTACTTGTCTCATTTATACTCATGATTCGTTGATAGTATTTCACTACTTTTCTCTAATTCTTTTATTTAAGTGAAAGATTGAACTATAATATTCATGATTTAGAAACTTGCAATTTATTTTAAAATATGAAAAAGTTACTTCGTATATGCACAATATATCTTTCACGTATTTACCTAATTCAAAATTCTTTATTGCAACCAATATTTGTACTAGTTTCATTCTGTAGGTTTAGGTACATTGTATCCTCAAATGTCACATATAAAATAATTCAATAAATTTTTTCTGATTAACTGCTTTATTGATTTCTTTGATGTGTTATACTCGTATTTAGATGACAAAATTGTTTGACTTTACTATATATTTTATAACAAAAAATTAATATACATAGTCCCATGCCCAAAAAATGTCAGGACTGGGCCTGATTTAAAACTCAACACTGAGAACCCATTCTTTTCAATTCGAGTAAACAATTCCAAATGACGAAGAAAACCAATCATAGATATGCTCAATTGCTCATTTACCTTTAGCATAGTAACTCCATCCACAACCACCGGCTCCATGGTAAAGTTCGCATTTTGCGAAGCCTGCTTCGAAATGAACATAATAGTTTGCTCCATAAACCGATCGAGGACAGAAAACAGATACCATGAAAACGACTAGTTCTATAGACCGGAAGCAAAATCATACCTGCGAGGGGGGGACTTCTTGACAAGGAGGTGGTGGAAAGACGGGTTTTTCTAGCGCATCGAGGAACCCTAGGCCTGAACCCGGTTGGGGTGTTTCGCGGAAGAGGTTTAACGTGCTAGCAGAAGAAAGTGACGATTCTGAATCCATTAGAATTTATGGAGCAAGTGAAAACTTTCATATGATGGGAAGAGAACAGACTGTGTTGTGCGCGGGAATTGATAAATAAATTATGCCGCCGCACGCTCACCGTCTCAAGGAGCTGGTGGCTACCATTTTTGCAATTTCCATACAATTCAGAGGCCGTCTGTACAAATTAGAAAGAAAAAAATGGGAAATTTTCACAAATAAGATTAAGAGTCAAAATAATATTTATTTTTTCACTTTTCAAATTTTCTTTCAAAAATAGACTAGTTACAAAATTATTTTTATAAATAGATCTTTTGTTCTAACGTTCGTTAGCTCCTGCGATAAGGAGTCAAACATATTGTGGTTCAATGACATCACAGTCGCATTCCCAATTAGGAGGTCGGAGGTTCGAAACATCATTCTAGTCAAGGATGTCGACATTTAACAGAATAAATACTACTTCCTTCATCCCGTTGGAAGGTTCCCATAGCAAAATGACACGATTATTTAGACAATAATTAAATAAAGTACTTCGAATATATTTTGAGAAATAATTTTAATATGTATATATTATAATGTAGTTAGTATTGATAATTGTAATGTTATAAATGTATTGTTTTTAATATTTAATGATTTATTTGTCACTTAAGATTATTAATTGTTTCCTAAAATGGAAATGAGAACCTTCTAACGGGACGTCCAAAAAAAAAGTGGGAACCTTCTAGCGGGACGGAGGGAGTATAAGAAATGAGAAAGTGCAACCAAAAAAAAACTTCTCTAAAAGTTTACTATAGATAACTATGTAATCTAAGTAAACCACCACAAACTTGTCCTGGAACGACTCTAATATTGGGTTCATAAACGATATGTAGTCGCTGAAGTGGAACCGTGGAAGTGGTTTTAAAGACTCCATGCTACCTCTAATATAAGTTGGTGCAGTTGCTCATTTTTTTAAATCGAACTCAAATGAAAAAAAAAATCAATAAAAAGTCAAAGAGATGACAATAATTACAAAAATATTGATACCACAACAAAATAAACTGAAATAAAAACTCAAACTAAAAATAAGAAGTGCAATAAAAAAGATGAAAATTTCTCAAAATTGAAAATTTGTAAAATGATTTTCAAAATAAAGGTATGCATAAATTTTTAAATTAAATAAAAAAAGATTTAAAATGTTTATAAATTCTAGTGATGCAAAATTCAAAAATAAAATGTAAAAATTAAAAAAAAAAATAGGTGAAAATAAAAAATATAAAATATTTTTTTAATATGTATTGTTTTTAAAATGGTTAGTACCCTTTATGTATACGTATAGGAACTGGCAAAATATAAATAACAATCGATAATAATAAATGTTAAAATTTATGAAGTTGTTTTCAATATATAAGTGAATAAATCTAATTTAAAAAAGGCCACATTTTCACAAACAACCTTTAATTTTCGTCACAGTTGAGTAATTGTTTTAAAATATAAATTGAAAAGGGGTAAAAACTAGGGGGGGGGGGATTAAAATCTAAAAAACTGTAAATTAAATTTTAGGAAAGAAAAATTAAAATCAGAAAAGATTTTAAAAAAATGAAATAGAGCACTTTAAAAATACAAAATTCGAAAATGAAAAGGTTAAAAATTATACACGTGTTAAAACGGTAAAAGAATAACAAAAATAAAATAATATATATATATAATATGCTTTTGTAATTTAGAGTTTTTATCAAAAATAAATTAAATATTTTGTTGTTATTATTGCTATATTTGTTGTTTAATGGTACTTTATGTTGCTTTTTAATTTGTTTATATTTACAGATGAAAAGGGGTCAAATAAGCTCTTCTATTGTTTCCATTACATCACTTAAATCCATGTATTAAAAAAATATTATATAAGTATGTCTACTTTACAAAATTGATCAATTAGACCATGTAATCAGTTTTTGACTTGTAATAGCATGTTTTTAATATTTAAAAACGCTAAAAATGTTAAAATTTGAAGAAATGTATAAAAATTGTGAAAATTTTCAGAATATCGAAGTCAATACTCCCTCCTCTGTTCTTTAATTTATTAAGTGTACCCTTAGGCTTTGGCACACGTTTTAATGGGAAAATAATATGGGTAATGTAAAAGGTGTAGTGGTTTATGTTTAAGTGATATGGTGGGAAAGAGAAAGGGGTAAGAGTGATAAAAAGTGGGGGTAAAAGGTATTCTGAGGGACAAATAATAAAAACATCCCCAAAAAAAATACGAGATAGTTAATAAAGAACGGATGGCGTATTTTTTTATTTTTAAAAATATTTGTATATTCTACATCTATTTTTAAAAACTCTAAAAGGGTTTTAATTTTTTTTTTCAATTTATTTTTAAGTTTTATGATTTTTTATTTTTTTATTTTTACTGTTTTTAAATTTTTATCTAGTTTTTTTCATTTATATTGTTATTAGATTATTTGTACATTTATATTATTTTTACATTTATATTATTTTTACATTTATTCAAATTTATATGATTTTCTGCAAGATTTATCAATATTCTTAATTTAATTTTAAAAAATAACATGCTATTGTGGGTCAAATGTCTTCATTTATATTATTTTTACATTTATTCAAATTTATATGATTTTCTGCAAGATTTATCAATATTCTTAATTTAATTTTAAAAAATAACATGCTATTGTGGGTCAAATGTCTTCATTTATTATTTTTACATTTATTCAAATTTATATGATTTTCTGCAAGATTTATCAATATTCTTAATTTAATTTTAAAAAATAACATGCTATTGTGGGTCAAATGTCTTCATTTATTGTATTTTACAATAAATGTACTTATATGTTACTTTCTTAGTACATGAGCTTAAATGACGGATTGGAAATAATAGAAGAGATTATTTGTCCATTTTTCCTTTTACAAATGATTTTTTTTTTGAAGGATTTTACAAATGATTTTTAATATCTTGTTTTTTATTACTCCATCGGTCCCTCTATCTTTGTCCCGTTGTACCCTTTTCTTTCGTCTCACTAAGTTTCTCTTATACCATATCTGATAATATTTGGGTGCTTACAAATCATTCTTACTTTATTCTCATTTTATCAATTCAATATCAACCGCACAATTCCAGTTTTCTTAATAATCGCATCACTCTCTCTTGTCCTAAACTTAATTTGATGCAACAAAATGGAACAACGTAACATATAAAAGCAAGAGGATGCAACAATTGCAACACAATGCGACAAATGCAACAAAATGCAACAAAAAAAACAAAATACAAAAAATAGAAGTTACAAGTTTATAACATACACAATTGTTCAATGAATACATACTTCAACTTATTTGTAACCATTCATGATCGGAATTATAGTTACAATCTATACTAAAGTATTGGAAACTCATGAAGCCCCACGAGAAGAATCTTCCAAGTAACTCTCTCTCTCAATTGAAAATAACAATCCATTGAAGCCAAATGGTAGAAACCGCAACAATTTTGTGCAGTTTTGTCCTGAAGTAGTGAACTCAATCCAAAATATTGTTTAACATAGAGCAACAAAAGAATAAAACCATCATTAATGTCAATGGAGCCTGAAAAAAAAGGAAACCACAACCTTAAGACCAATCTATCTGGATTGGTTCTCGGAAATGGAAAAAGTACACCAAACTCTAAAGGAGGACTGGTTATATTAATACGCATGTATAGACCAGAGTTAGCATTACAATCTACATGACTCACTGACTATTAACAAATCCATATGTAAAGATAATAATATCCAAGATTAGCTCTATAAGGGTCGATTTGAATCCCCCCAAAAAATAGGGAAAGAGATAAATACTAAAATAGCAAAGTGGGTAGGAGAAAGGCAGTTTTTCCGACAGTACAAGTAAACAAAAACAGAATTCCTGAAGAAATTTGAACCGTCTGAGCTAAACAAATACAGTAGAAGCCGACAATAAACTAAAGAGTCAACTTACACCCGCAACTAAATATGTATGCTCCAAATGTAGAATCCAAGTGCTTGCATAAAGAAAAACAAGTTTATTTGTATATATATCTATATCAATATAATATAATAAAGTAAACTCTTGGAGAACTTTTTGGATGAATTCTTGACATGTGACAGCACGTTTTTTAGGAAAAAGTGACATGCGGCAACACCATAAAGGAAAAGTTATTCAACTTCCAAAACTCCACACTTATGTATTTCAATATACTTTATATGTATGATATGTATCATCCTCTATTATCATATGTTGTTTTAAACAACACATATAATATATTTATTTTATTTATTTATTTATTTATACATTTATATATTTGTCATAATATTTTGCACACAATTAGGTAAAATTTTGCACTCGAGGTAGTACAAATTGCAAATACTCTAAAAAGAAAATAGCTAACAATTTTTAGTCTCTCTTAAAATAAACAAAAATATTTTTCTCTGTTTCTTTTCCTATAAACTCTTGCAAATGCTTCCTTACTCTGAGTTTTATATATTTTTTCTTATTTCTTTCCAAAATAAGATAATTATTAACAATGGCGGTTTTAGAATTTAATTTTTAAGTATTCAATGTTTTTACAATTAAAATTTAAAAAAAGAATAAATATACTTATTTTAAATTTACACATATACTTTCATGTTTTTCAATTTTTTGGATGTTCATGCAACACTTTGGAACAATACTAGCTCCGTGACTGATTATTAATCCATCCGTCTCATTGATTTTCTGACACATTTCCTTTTTCTTTCATTCACTACGTTTGTGTAGCTCTAAATCATTCCCATATTATCTCTTCCTTTCCAATTTAAGATTAATCACATAAACATTTTTTAATAATTGCACGCGTCACGATCTCAACGGGATAAATGTGGTGTTAATCATCTATTTATTATATTATTGCTAAATCAATATCTAAATGTAGATTCGGTATTTTATCTCATATTTATTTATACATCCCTCGTGATTTATGTTTCACGTTGTCAAACGGGCCAACACTCCCCGATCATACCCAACCTGTGGTGGGTTATGCTTTTCATGACTTATATCGATATAAGTTATAACTGCCTAATGGTGGACCATATCTTCTAAAAAATGGGTTTCAAAGGATGCCATGCAGATCAATGTAAAAAATGTACATGACAAAAGACCTTAGGAATAATTACCCTGGAGTATATATGGTCTGGTTCTAGTGAAAACACTTCTATTTGTGAGAAATGAGAATGATCTGAAATGATGCACGTTATATTTAATGGAGGGACACACTTACAGTTTAAATAACTCACAATTTCAAAGGGAAGAAAAAGTTAAATTTATTTACAAAAATGTCATCACATTTTCTGGGTTATGTAATGCACTTTTCAATTTCACGTAATATATAATTCTCAAATCTAACGCTGCATGTTCATTCTCAATATACCAAGTACATAATACTTAATAAGTTTAATGAATTTTTTTTCTAAATCATTCTTATAGAAAAGTCACTCATTATACAAAAAATATATACAATTAGTGTTTTGAGTAAATATTTGTAAATAATGACTACTAATTGTTAAAAAAATATTTTCACCTATAACGTAAAAATATGTTGGAGTAATTTGTTTGGAATAATTATTATAGACATAATAGTTCAACAAAGTGATTGTAAAATCATAAGTATATAATTGAAAATGATTTTAATTTGGTAGTAGACGACCAACACTGAAAATAATGAAAGTGAAAATCAAATGTTTGTATAATGACCAACTCGCAACCTGCATGAGCCAACCCATTTAACCGATAACCCGTACCGATTGACACACAAAACCAGTGAGTTCATTGAGGTAAACACAACAATTGAAACAGGCTTGCTCCACGGCCAGACGACGTTCCGCTCAACAAATTCTTATAAGTAATATTTGTCTTGCATAATATACCTTATATACAGTGGATCAAGTCAATCCAAGTAGTTGTTATTTTAACACTTTAGTCTACTTTTATATTTATTGTTTGTTTGTTATTGTATTTGTTATTTGAGTTCATCTAAATAGGAATCAATATTCTGTTTATTACGTTGTTATTTATTTTGTTCATAGAAAATCACTAATATTACCGGTCAGTTTATTACTACGTAGTTTTTAATTATGATGCATTAATAGTATAAGAATTTTATTTTGAGGCTGAACTACCAGTTATTGAATGTGCTCTGGAGCTATTAAACCTTTTTGCTAGACATTTGATGTCTATTTTAAACGTTTATGTTTTTGTTATGTTTAAATTTAATGTTTACACTTGGATGTTTTTGTGATATTTGAACATTGAGATATCATGTATGTATAATGCAATGATCATAAATTCGATAATTATTTTCATGATTTGAAATTTGATTTTTTAATGTAATTGAAAGTAAAATGTGTTTATTTTAGGAGGACAATAAATTTTTATAAGAGACCGAAAAAGGTAAAAACTGAATCGAACTTAACTAGAATCGATCCGCACTTAACTAGAACCGAACCGAATTTAACATAGTTTTTTAAGACGATTCCTCTAATTTGAATTAGAGTAAGCGTAAACTAAAAGTAGTTGAGTTCATCTCTTATGAGAATTATTTTGTCATATTTTTTACCATCTCAAAAACTATGTCAAATTCCATTGTAATCAATTTATTTATGATTACTATTTTTTATTACTAGTATTTACCCGTGCGATGCATGATACGTACCTTATTTTCATATCTTATGCTTCCTTTATACTCCGCATATCTCAAATTGATTACAATTTGAGATTTTTAAGGTTGATCAATGATAAAATTTAATCATCCATGATAGTTAAACCAATTTTAATAATTAAAATTTACATCTCAAAATTACATTAAAAGTTCTATAAATTACAAATTTCAAATTAGAATGAAATAGACAAAAAAATATGCTAAATAAGTAGATAAAGTGAAAATGTGCTCACAAAAAAGTCATTTTGGGACTCAGCTAAAAATAAAAACTATACTATCTATTAAATTTCTTGCATTGTAAGAGTTACATTCCCTCATTTATTAAAACATACTTCGACCAATAATAAATTTGGCATTACTGCAAACTTTTAAGACCTTCCCATTCTAGGTCATTATTATTATTATTTTAATTTAATTTTATTATTTTCTGTGTCAATTAAATTTGAGGTATCACAACTTTAAGAACTATTCGTAAAATACTAAGAGGCCGTTTGACAATAATGTTTTTCGACTTATCAGGCTTATCAGTCAACTTTTTCATCAAACATGTAATTTTTGCTTTCGCGCGCTGAATTGTGTAATAAGCAGAAAAAGTAAGGTTGTAGTTACTTTTCTGACTGTATTGACTGAAGTTACTGTAGATGACCATTGTAGCTATTTTTACATATAATTTTTTCTTTATTTTATTAATAAAATATATTTTATAATTATTTTTTTCTTAAATCATCAGAATCAGCCAATGCAGTCACTTCAGGCAGAACTTCACAAATTTGAGCAGAATCAGCCGAATCAGTCGATTTTCGTGCTAACAAACGGGCTCTAAATGGCACACCAAAACTTGATCTTCCAATACGATCCAAGTAAAGTTTTACTCCGTAAAGAACATTTTCCACCTTAGTTCTTTTGTTCAATCTTCAGCTACCCCCTGCCTACCTCAATCCTCCTGGACATCCTTCGTCGTCTCTACTGTCTTCTCAGCTTCTTCCGCCGCGTGACCCCTTTGGCCTCTTCTCATTACCCGCCATTACCATAGGGGTCGCCCAATTGTCTTGAATTTAAAAAAAAAAATCAAAAACTTTAAAAATTGCATCTTTATTTGTATCTATTGCCTATCTCTATCGGTAACGAGATCATCTTAAATGGCGTCGAGCGAGATCTCCCAGACGGATACGGAGGGGATCGACGGCGTCCGCATGACGTGGAACGCGTGGCCCCGTACCAAGGTCGAGGCCAGCAAGTGCGTGATCCCAATCGCCGCCTCGATTCACCTGATCCGCCCCCAGCCGGAGCTTGTCACGGTCCCATACCCGCCGCTGCGGTGCAAGACCTGCGCCTCCGTTCTCAACCCTTTCGCACGGGTCGATTACTCGGCGCTGAAATGGATCTGCCCATTTTGCTTCCAGCACAATAATTTCCCGCAGCAGTACTCCAACGTTTCCGAGACCAACGTCCCTGCTGAGCTCTTCCCGCAGTTCACTACCATACAATACGCCCTACCGCAGAATCCTAGGGCAAATCCGAATCCTGCTGTTGGTCAGTCTCAAGCTTACTTGTTCATGTTGGATACGTGCATGCTTGAGGAGGAGCTCGGTTTTGCAAAATCCGCATTGAAACGGGCTGTTGGAATGCTTCCGGAAAATGCCATTGTTGGGTTTATCTCCTTTGGAACTCAGGTGCAGGTGCACGAGCTTGGATTTTCTGATATGTCGAAGGTGTATGTATTCCGGGGATCCAAGGAGCTGTCTAAAGATCAGGTTTTGGAGCAATTGGGGCTTGGTAGCATTGGCGGAAGGATGCAGAAGGGTGCTAGTGGATCCACAGGGGTGGTCCCTGATCTCGGTACTAGAAGATTCCTATTGCCTGCTACAGAATGCGAATACACACTGGATTTGGTCAGTTTAGCTTAAATATAAGTCTTTCCCTACATTTTGGTTGAACTCAGAACATGTATTGGAATGCATTTTATATGTTTGGTTGTACCTTATGCAGTTATTGGATGAGTTGGTTACCGATCAATGGCCTGTGCCTCCAGGAAACAGGGCATTACGCTGCACAGGAGCTGCTTTGAGCGTAGCCTCCGGTTTGCTAAGTTCTTGTTTGGCAGGTTCTGGTGCTCGAATTATAGCTTTGGTGGGAGGCCCATGCACAGAAGGGCCTGGAGCGGTTAGCCTTTTCATCCATCTTTTTGCCCTTCATTCTCCAAGTACATAAATACTTCTGTTGATTCTAGTGCAAAGAGGTTTTGTTACGAGTTCAGTTAAGATGCTGAATGATCCATTTTACATTTCACAGAAAAAAACATTTTGTTTTTGTTTTTGTTTTAGAGATTAATTAATAAAAGCACTTTAATTTTCTCCAAATGGTAGTTTTATATTTCCATGATATAGGCTTGCAAGTTGCAATACTACATGCATTCACTTGAGCAGCTTCCACACTTGTAGTCTTTTGTTTTTATATGCTTGACTTTTGGATTCAGGATCTTCCCCATGTGTGAATTTTACAACCCTTTCCCTATAATATTCAGTATTACAGCAATGGATTTGGCTACTTCTAGTAATGTATACCCTTGAAATGGGGAAACAAGGGACAAAACTATGCACACAGGCATTGGATCTGTACTAAGAGAGATGTGAAATTGCTATTTGGGTAATCGAAGCTATAGCATTCCTGGGTTTTCTAGGCTTGCAGATAAATGGGTAGTTTATTGTTTGGAAAGTTAGGATTCTTGTTATATTATCCAAAATGTTTGAACATACTTCAGAAATGGTTTCTTAGGTCAGTTAGGTGTGATGAGCATCACATAATCAAGCTATAAGCATTAAGTAAAATATAAACACGAAGAATTGCTTACTTCCCTCCTCTCAATATGACATTCACTTCTCACATTTTCTCCTCATCCGGTATGAATTATTGTCATTGTTGCCAATGTCTACTTTGTTGAATATTGGTATTCTGCTATTCTTCTCTCCCTGAAAATATATGTAGTGATCGATTGTTATTTGTCTTAGTTTGTTGCATCGTCTCTACATTCAGTGGAGTCTTATTGAACGATTTTTGTTTCTTTGTAGCTTTTGTTCATTTGACTGCATGCTTCAAGTATCTCACTGTGGATACTGGTACTAACATTTTGTTTTTATTCAGATTGTTTCAAAAGATTTATCAGATCCTGTTAGATCCCATAAGGATCTAGATAAAGATGCGGCTACATTTTTCAAGAAGGCAGTTCATTTTTATGAGGAACTTGCCAAACAACTAGTCAGTCAAGGTCATGTGTTGGATGTTTTTGCATCAGCTCTTGATCAGGTTTGTCTTGGCCAGTCTTGGGTCTATATTAGAATATTGTGTTCCTTTTATATTAACCACATTTGAGTCTTCAGCAGATTTATTTTGAATGTTATATGCTTGCATCATATAGTCTTCTAATGGGGTTTCTTGCTGTGTTCTTGTAAACCATTGAGCATAACTGCTTGTCCTATGCATAATTTTTCTCATTCTGCTGTATTAATAAAATACCTCTTTGCAACCGTTGGTGTTGATATAATCACAACGTAAACTAGTAATGCCACCCTTCCATTCTCATAGAAAGAAAATATTATTAATGGAAAATAAACAACAAAGCCGTTTTACGATGTATCCTCTATTATATAAAATTTTCAACAATTATCTCTCCTTGCATAGAGTACAATAGGGGTGGGCATATCGGTTTTTATTGGTTTTCGGTTCGGTATGAAACGGGCTTGAAAGGATGATTACCAAATAAACCATAATATTTTTTAATGCTCTCAAACTCAAACTGAATTGCATATGGTTTGGTTTCTGTTTGGTTTAGTTCGGGTTGGTATACGGTGTGGTTCGGTGAACTCGTAAACCAACCGATATGGCGATATTCCCTCCCCTTGAGTATAATTAACTTCTCATCATATTCTTTGAGTTAAGGTTGGGGTTGCTGAAATGAAAGTAGCAATTGAAAAGACCGGAGGGCTGGTAGTTCTTGCAGAAAGCTTTGGCCATTCCGTTTTCAAGGATTCTTTCAAGCGTGTTTTTGAGGATGGGGAACAGTCACTTGAAATTTCCTTCAAGTGAGTATCATGATATATATATATATATATATATATATATATATATATATATATATATTTTCATTCTACATACACCTTTAGTAATTTGCCTTATCTTATCTAATACTAGTTTGGATTTCTTTGAGATTTAAAGGAGTATTTTGTTTGGCTTAAAAGGCGCTTTGGGCTTTGTTACAAATGAAAGAAAAGGTTACCACATAGGGCCCATTCATTTGGACCAAAATAAAGTATGGGTTGTTTAACTATGGTGTGGTCTATTTTGGTCTGGTTTGAACTGGTCTAAAATTGAAATGGTATATCGTATGTGTGTATCCTATTACTATCCAAGTCTAAACTGGTGTAGTATGATGATTTGACATGTTCAAATTTCTTTTAGTCTGGTTTGGTCTGTGGTTTAGTCAATACGTTGAATCTTAAGACGCCCTTGGTAGTCACTTGGGGTCATTTGAGAAGGCACCCCCTATTATTGAGATTGTACCAGAAGTACTCATGTTTAGGACTAATATAAAAGAACTCCAATAACAACATCCAAGACTTAATCCCAAAAGAATTTGGGGTCGGCTAACATGAATCGATCAATGATATCGATGCCAAGCAGAGAAGATGGACAAGAAAGAGAAGAAAAAAAAGTAAGATAAAACGAATAAAATAAAGATAAATAAAAGATAACAACAACACAAGAATATAAGAAAGATAAAAGATAAAAAAAGATCATAAAAAAGCTAGAATATAAAAATAACATAAGAATAAACAAAGGTAAGGAAGATAAACGATAAAAGAAGAAAGAGAGGAAAGGTAGAAAAGACATCAGTCGTCCACACGGATGTGCGCCCTCCACTTTGCTCTCTCCGAAGCCATACTCTCATCCAACCCAAGGAGACGCATATCAGTTCTGATTCCTCTAACCCAAGTCTGTTTGGGTCTTCCCCTCCCTCTCTTCTCTACCTCTTCTCCCCACCCCTCAAGTCGTCTAACAGGTGCATCACCCGGTCTTCTACGCACATGTCCAAACCACCGCAAACGAGACTCCTGCATCTTATCTTCTATAGGTGCTACTCCCACCTTTTGTCTGATTATCTCATTCCTCAAACGGTCTTTTCTGGTATGTCCACACATCCAACGCAACATACGCATCTCTGCCACACTCATCTTTTGAATGTGGCATTGCTTCACCGCCCAACACTCCACGCCATACATTAATGCAGGCCTAATTGTTGTTCGATAAAACTTACCCTTCAGTCTAGTTGGCATACCTCGATCGCAAACTGGCACCTCATTCTAGTGCTACTGCAGCTCCCACTTTCTTTTGGATAAGTCCATGAGAATAATCCCACATATTGGAGTTCTTTTATATTAAAAAAAAGAACTCCGATATGTGGGATTATTCTCATGGACTTATCCAAAAGAAAATGGGAGCTGCAGTAGCACTAGAATGAGGTGCCAGCAAACATTTTTTTTTTAAATTTCATGGGTTTGCTATCAGCTTACATAGAATTTTATGATAAGGGTATACACTGGGTTACAACATGACTATAGAAAGTGCATGCTAGATGAAAACACATTGGATATGCCTTTTCCTCACTCTTTCCGTTTCATATCTGTTTTGGGCACAAATTATTGCATTTCTAATTCATATATTTCTTCCAGTGGAACACTTGAGATCAAATGCTCAAAGGATATTAAGATTCAAGGAATTATTGGGCCTTGCACATCTTTAGAGAAGGTATGTTCATTTTGTGTTTATAGATATGTAAGACTTTGGTTTAATGATAATATCGAAGGAGGTGACTGAATGATGTGTTACTGGCAGAAAGGGCCTGCTATTGCCAACACTGCTATCGGAGAAGGGAATACTACAGTTTGGAAGATGTGCAGTCTTGACAAAACTACATGCTTGACTGTTTTCTTTGACGTTTCATCTAGTGAAAAAGCAGACCCTTCTGCCAATGCAAATTCATATTTGTTCATACAGTTCCTCACAAGGTATAAAATTTTATTATTATGCTTTAATTATGATCAGTGTTAGATGTTTTTATCCTTTGAAGAGTATTTTATGTTATCAGTTTCCCAGCTTGCCTTTTCATTAGGATTTGGTTCAACGGTTGTACTATACTCTTACTGTGACTAATTGTAGTTGTGATGAACTTCAATTTAGTTACCAGGGCTCTGATGGCCAAACAAAATTGCGAGTAACAACAATCAGCAGAAGATGGGTTGATACTGCTGTCAACTCTGAGGTATGGAGCCAAGTTTCATGGATGCCATTTGTTTTTGGAATAAATAGTCCAACAATTATAGTCAATATTAGTCCAACTACCATCCTGCCATGTATGCTAAAACAGTTTCCCTCATTAATGCATTTCTTAGCAATAGACTAAAGGTTGAACCGTTGAAGCCATTTTCCTCTATAAGAATTGAGTATTTTTTTTTATTTAACATTGTGTGGTATCAGTCAACTCAGCGATAACCGAACACATTCTATATTACGTAGTATTTTACTTCCCTTCTGACTATTTATGTATACAATTTTCACATCCCCCCTACTAGAGTTACTACTCTACTGAATTTATAGTTTTATACTTCTGCATGCATATTACCTTTAATGTTGAAGAAATCATGCGGGTGTCCGGAGGCTGAGGGTCTGCTATTTTTTGTAGGAGTTGATACAAAGTTTTGATCAAGAAACTGCTGCTGTAGTAATGGCTAGGCTGGCTTCGTACAAAATGGAGATGGAGGTATTTTCCGTATTTTTCTGCTTGTGTATGATCTCCTTTTAATACTCACTACACTTTGTACTTGACTACATTCATCCTTTACAGCTTGCAAGTTAATTCTACTTGATTTTTTTACTTCCTTTAATTCTCTTGTGCATTTTTGAAAGAAACCTGATGGGTTGTTTATTCTTCCAGGAAGGTTTTGATGCCACTAGGTGGCTAGATCGGAATCTTATTCGTCTTTGTTCTAAATTTGGAGAATATCGGAAGGACGACCCTGCATCGTTCACATTAAATCCTTTCTTTTCGTTGTTTCCTCAGTTCATGTTTAACCTGCGACGCTCCCAATTTTTGCAAGTAATATTACTTAACATGCTTTCCTCTTTCATATTTTGCATGGAATTCTGTGATACAACTTTAGGTGTATATATACACTTATTTCCAATCTGTCATCTATTATTTGCACAACAGGTTTTCAATAATAGTCCAGATGAGACAGCTTACTTCCGCATGTTGCTGAATCGTGAGAACATTAGCAATGCCGCTGTCATGATTCAACCAACACTAACTTCATTTTCATTCAATTCACCACCTTGCCCAGCGTTATTGGATGTTGCATCAATTGCAGCTGATCGTATCCTCCTGTTGGATTCTTATTTTAGTGTAGTAATATTCCATGGAATGACAATAGCTCAATGGAGAAACATGGGCTACCACAAACAGCCAGAACACCAGGTCTGTATTCATATTATTTAGATTTCTCTAACATGTCTTTGTGTTGGGATGAAATTTGATTATACTACATCTCATCAGAATCAAGCTTCCTTTAGTCACATCCCTCTGAAATCGATATAGCCTGCTTTATTGCCTATATGACTCAAAAGGGTTCACTGTATAGATCCCTTCTTTCTGCAGCAACAATTAGGCATCACCACCTGCTATGGCGATGCCAGATCTTCTAGGTTTGTTTGCCGACCCAACTCTACGTTTAGACTTTCAAGTCACCTGAGGTTACCCCACTGGTCGCTAGTGCAGTCCCTTTCTCTGCATATATACTCACAAAACCTCTGCTTTTTTATTCTTTATCACCAAGTCCAACCTCTGGTCACTCCTTTTTTTCTCAATGACTGAAGTTTTTTTTCTTCTTTTTTTTGTATGTCAGTTAGTTGACTCCAGTTGGACTACATATTTCCATGTTTAGTTCTTTACTTACTGTTTTAATAGTTGAAAAATATTTTACTACCTCATTTGTGGTGAATAATTACACTATATAAATAATTTGCATTGTAAATGTTCCATTGTTCTGTACACTTATTCGCGGTCAAAGTTGAACACTTGTTTCAATTATATATTTTTTTGTTTGAATTTAAAGTAAATAAGTCTAATAGGTAATTTATATACTTCCTCTTTCTTTAATAGTTGCAACACTTTGACCTTTGCACTATTCACATACACCTGACTTTGACCATGAGTTCTACTAGTATATACTACTAGTATATATCATTAAATTATTATGTACTCCGTATAAAATATTACTCTCTCCGTCCCGAAATTAACTTCCACCTTTCCTATTTGCGATGTCCCAAAATTAATTTCCTACTTTACTTTATTTCTACTTTTGGTAAGCTTTTGCTTTGAAACTTGAAAGTACCATTTGCCCCTTACTTTTACTATTCACTTGCCTCCTTTAATTTATTTGGACCACTACATCTCTTTACTATGCGAGGGTACTTTTGGAAAGTCAACTTTTACATTTTTCCTACCTAAAAACCCGCGAAGTCAAACCGGAAGTTGGTTTTGGGACAAAGGGAGTATTAAATATCTATTGATGTGAATTTTTAAAGTATTAAGTTTGTATAATGGTTACTACTACGTAATAAAATACAATTACAGTAGAAAATGTGTGTTGTCAAATGTGCAAGTCAAAAACTAGGCATGACAATGGGTCGGGGCGGGTACGGCAAGACCCAGACCCGCCTCGTGACCTGCACGGGTCCAAACTTGTTGACCCATGACCCGCCCCGCCCCGCCCCGCTGTAACCTAATTAGCTAGTATGTATTTTTATTTGTGAGAAGTTGTTACCAATTGAATCTACATAAAGTTTATCTTTAAATAATTATTAAAAATTAATATCTTAAATCAAATTCACGATACGCTAGAAATTTCAAAAGTTAAGGAAAAATCTCTTAGACTTGAATAGTTAATCTATTTAATTATATTAATACTTGAATATATGTATTCAAATGCTATATATAAAGAAGACATTGATAATCTGTCGTTCATCTCAGTCTAATATATATATTGATATATTATAAAATCAAAGAATTTATGATTTATTGTATACACAAATATGTATGTTGAAGTATATTTGTAGTATAATTTAAGAAAAAATATGTATATACTTATATATTGAGCGGGTCGGGTCGGGGCGGCACGGGTCAATACTAATACCCAGACCCGCCCCAAATGTCTCGGGCCAGAGCGGGTCATTGCGGGCCGGTTTTTTTGACATCCCCAAGTCAAACTGTTGCCATTAAAAAAGAATAGAGGTAGTGTTATCTTTATATTTGAGTATCGCATACGAGTGCAAGTTGTCGCCTAGGCGAGTGCCTAAGCACCTAATCGATAAGGCGGCTTGTTGGCGCCTAGCCTAGCTGCCATAACAACCTTGTTTGCAATTGATTTTTGTTGCCAATTGTGATGTTGATTTACATTTTCACTCACACTCGTCAATATGATATGAACAATGAAAGTGTCGAGAGAAATGGACTTTTCGCCGGACAAGAAAGGGGAAGGGTGAGAGGTATGGTTTTAACACCAAATTGGAAGAGATCTATGAAGAATGGAACAATTTAGTGATCTGAAAATGAGATGGGGGACCTACTCTGTCCTGATAACTATGATTCGGCCTGGTCTAAAACTCTCTAGTCTAGTTTGAATCTTTCAGATCCGGTCTACGAACATGTGAATGTTTCAGATCTTATCTAACTTTCTTGTCGGGTGTGATTTGGATGTGTTTGGTCTAGTTGTCTGGTTAAAATAAGAATAAGTAGTAAGTAAATAGATTAGGTGAAGGGAACCCTGCGTATGCCCCTATGATTTCACACTGGAGTTTGTTAATTTACTAGAGTTAATCCATCCTTTGAAGATTTTACACCTGTTCTCAACTTTATATATCCATGGATTTATCTCATCTTAGCTTCTTATTTTAATTTTTTATCTTTCTTATCATCTTTTTCCCATCATTTGCAATGGAGCCAAAGATTCACTATTTTTTGGCTTGAGAATATGATGGAATAAAGCAAAATGGCTCACTAAACTGTCTGCGCTTCTTTATTGTGAAGCAATAGTCACTCCATGTATTTTTCGACGCGATTTTCACTATGGGTCATTCGGAAACAGTCTCTCCCTGATTTAGTACAGGGGTAACACTGCGTACATCCCCCCCCCCCCCCCCCCCCCCCCTTACCCCCCACCGTAGGTGGGAGCCTTTGCGGCATTGGGGTAACGATGATGATGATATCTTTCTTATCATCTTTATCCTTCTATCTTTTTATCTCATCTTTTTTAGCTTTAACTTATCTTTTTTATCATATCTTACCTTCTTACTTTTTTATTATCTATTTTAGATCTGATTTCATGTATCGATTCATGTTAGCCGACTCCAAACTGAGGCTTGGCTGTTGTTGTCTCAACTTTATATATCCATGAATATGGAATGTCCATTTATTAAAACTCTTTACTTTTCCAGGCGTTCGCCCAACTATTACAAGCTCCTCATGATGAAGCCCAAGCCCTCATTCATGAACGGTTTCCTGTTCCGAGATTGGTGGTGTGTGATCAGCATGGTTCCCAGGTAATGTTTTCATTGAGACAGGGTTACTAATGTTTTCAAATTCAAACTTCGTATATCTTGTCAGCACTTGGCACTTGTCCATTAACTTGTTGGTTCCTGGTTATCCCCAGTTTGGGACATGAAAAGGTTACTGTAATGCAATATTGCAATTTACAGCTTAAGGAGATGGAAGAGTTACTTTAAATTTACAGTGTTTGTGCATTCCGTAATGAATTGTTAGTTCTTTCTACATATAACATTGTATGTAACCAATATGTCAGCAGTCAGCCCTTAAAAAATTACTCAATAGTCAATATAGTTGCTGGGAATGTTTCGAGTGTTTTGACACTTAAGGTCTGCTTTGCTTAGTTTAGATGTGATATATGAAGTTATGAACTTGGAGATTTAGATCTAGCCTGTACAACAGTGCTGTATACCAGTAGAAGATTCAGTGCTCCCCTTGAACAGATACTTTATCCATTTACCAGGATTTGAATGGATGTTTCGATATTTGTTTAACATGCTTTATCACTTATACTGCATTCTTGTGTAATTTAGACTGGCATTGAGTGCCATATGATCCATGAATATGAGAATGGAGGAACATGAACCGAAAGATGCAGCCATGATTTTATGTAAGAAACACTATGAAAAACATCGAGGCTAGAGTAATCATATAACATCACCGGTGTCAGAGTTCGGCCTTGGGGAGGGGTATCTCTTACTCTCTAGTAATTGGGCAGTGAGCTTCTATTCCATATGAAATTTTGAGGCTGAAATTAGGTTATTATTTGTTTGATTGTCTTAGTACCATCTATTTCAACTCAAATGTCGTTATAAAGTACTCTCTCCATCCCACTAAGATTGTCCGATCTTTCATTTTTGGTCCGTCCCACTAAGATTGTCCCATACCAAATTGGCAAGATTTGTGTGGTTCTAAATCGTTCTTACTTTGTTCTCACTTTTATCAATTCAAACCAACTACATAAACTCACTTTTCTTGATAACCACACCACCTTCTCTAGTATATAATATAAATGAGCATGTAATTGAATAATGTATGAGGAAGGAGGGCCAGATTCCTCATTTGCAAAAACTTGAAAAAGTGATTTTCAGCTTTTGTCTTAAAGGCAAATTGGCTGTTTTCAAGTGACAACTTCAGCTTAAGTTAAGCACTTAAAAGCTCAAAGCAGGTGTAAAGGTGTTTTAAACTGCTTCTTAGTTTTTCTATCGCACAAAAAACACCTTTTTACCAAACACTACCAATTTTTACTTTTTCAAAATCATTTTTTCTCTAACACTACCAACTTTTACTATTAAGCACTTTCTCTAAAGTTGCTTAAAAGAATCACTTTTAAAGTAGAAGCAATCACAAACAAGTTAGACAGGAATGGAGGAATAAGGATGTTTTCTATTTAAGTCTGGTCTGGTAAATGTCTGATCTCTGTGTATTTTATAAATGTTCAAGTCTGGTCTGGTCTGTTTAAGTCTGGTCTGGTCTGTTTAAGTCTGGTCTGATTTGTTTAAGTCTAGTCTTGTCTGATCTGGTTTGCGACTGAAAACAGTCCAAATGAAAACATCCTAAGAAGGCAAAACGATACTTAAGGGGAGGAAGATGTCTTTCCATAGCAAACTATGGAATAAGAATGGAAATAGTTGAAAAGACTTAGCAATGAGACATTAAGGTATGGGGGGTTAAGTTGTATTGTTCTGGAATGAGAATATAAAATGTGGAACTTAAACTTGGGAAGGGATACTGGGTTTTGTTTTTGGGTACATAACTATATATGAACCTATAGTACTTCAAGACCACACAAATAATAATCAGTTACTTCTTTCTGTAATTATTCTATACCATTTTTATTTTGGTTTTTATGACAAACCCGTAGCTTTATTAGTAATCCTTTTTAGTATTATTGCTATTATGTTATTATTATTATCATATCAGAAAATAACCTTAAACCTATGGTGAGATATCATATGGAAATTAAAACGGAAAGGAAATGCTAGTATTTTATTCTACTAAATCGGAAAAATACAAGACATTATTCTATACAAAGAGGGAAAACAAGAAATTAAATCACTCCATAAGAAATCTGAAATCCCTTACATTAAGAGAATCTAATTTTGGTTCTCTTAATCGATTTGATTACCTAGTACGTAGTATTATATAGGGATCATAAAATCTTCACATGAAGTTCTGCTATAGATGACCAGAATTGATTTTTTTAATGGTTCAACTTCAAGATTTTATTCCACCATATGTCGTTTATATTGTTCATGAAATTACCTGTCGGTTCTCCTTATGCAACTTTAACAAATTTCTGATGTGTATATATGTCCTTATAAATGTTTTGTAGGCACGATTTCTGTTGGCAAAGTTAAACCCATCAGCCACATACAACAATGCACATGAGATGGTTTCCGGAACAGATGTGATATTTACGGATGATGTGAGTCTTCAGATATTCTTTGAGCATCTACAACGGTTGGCCGTTCAATCTTCTTGATTTGGGAAATCAAGAAAGAAATGGACAAGAAGGGTTTTTGCACAAAGTGTCATTTTTGAAACCCTAGTGATTTCTCATTGTCTCAGTCTAATCTTCCCGCCCTACAATGAGAAGTGTTAGGGACAAAGTTATCTCAGCGGTAAGGACTATCTACGATTCTTTTTAAATCTCGGGTTTCATAACAGATTTCGCTTCCCCTCAAAAGAAGGTGCATGCCTATGAATTCATTTGTGTTGTATGTAAGGAAGAGCAAAATATTTAAACTATAATGCAGTTTTGCTCCCACAGTGCTGAATTTAGACTAGCCCCTTTTTTCATTTCCTGTCTATTGTAACTTCTCAAAGTTCATTTAGACCACAAGCCAATTTTATATTGGTAATTCGAGGATATGGAAGTTGAATAGAAGAAACATTGTTGTAGGTTATAAAGCAATTCATGAAGGCATTTTCTTTATTGTGTTATGTTTTATAGAAAGTCATTGTGGGTTAACTGGATTGCTACTCAGCAAATTAGTCACAGCCGGCAGACTATGATTCCTCTTCTGTTAACAGACATTGATTGTACTCGTTATCTTAATGGAGGAAAGAAAACCTTGAGGAGAGTTATTTTCCTATCGTTCGGTTTTACCTCCGAAAATGCAAAGGAAATTGAAATACCATTAATATTTTTACTTTTTTAATGAATATTTAAGATTAACATTTACTCCCACCGTTCCTAATTTATTATCTTACTTTGACATGGACACAGTGACATTATATGGTTGTATTAATGTAAAAAAAGACGAATCAATCACATAAAGACAGTATTTCCCCAAAAGGGATGAGAAGAAAATTTTGGGCCATTTTTAAGTGGGATAGAGGAAAAGTGTTTTAATAAAGGGAGTAGTACATGTAAAATCACATAAATTTTGGACCAGACAATTTATTTTTTTATGCACTTTCTCTACGGCTATAATTTTTCTTTAATTATCTTTCCTGAAGTTTTCCAAGTTCCCACGTAGTCATGTATCCTTAGGTCCGTTTGTTTTTGGGTGAAGATTTTTGTTGGTTTAATCTGAATTTGTTTGGTTTGTTTACTAATTGATGTTTACTAGTACTACTGAATATTTAATGGATTAGAACTTGGATTTCTAGTTTTTTCACAAGACCTCTAAAAACTTCCATAAGTCAGCTATGACGAATCTCTAAGGGCGTGTTTGGGAGTTTGGAGGGAAGGGGAGAGGAAGATTTTTGAGGTATGTTGTTGGAGGGGAAAGGGAGGAGATGGTGAGGAAGCCTTTCTTTGTATTTGAGAGTAATAAATTTGGAAGAAAATAGTTTTTGAATGAATTATAATTAAAATCACTTTAAGATAAGACAAATTCAAATGATTGAACTCATATTTATTTTTAATTGAGCTTAAATTACTATTTCATTAATTATCCTTCAAAATTCTTCAAATTGGGGAACTCAAATTTTACAATTTAGAGGATTTTGGAGGGTCAAGAAATCCCTCCAAAACCATTCCCTCCAATTTTATAAACTCTCAAACATAAAAAAGGAGTCATAAACCCCATCAACCTTCTCCTCTCCTCCAAAACTCAACTCCCAAACACACTCTAAAGCAAGTCACGTTTTCTTTAACTATTTTTAATATGTGGCTATGTGCATTGAGGGTTGGATTTCCTCTAATTTTTTATTCTATTCATGTGTGTTAACTTAAGAGCTATCTTCAGAAAATTAGATATGCGTCTTAATTCACCGATGTTCATCCAGTTTTTACCAAATTCGTAGAAGTGCTAAAATTAACTGGAGTTAAATCTATCCAAATGAACGTTTCTTTCCCACCGAAAAAAGGTGCTTGGGGAACCATTTTACATGCTCTCATGCGTTGGGTTTGCTTTGATAACTCTTTTTTTCCAATTCATCAGTCAACTCTTTTACTAAAATTGAACTATTAATTTCATATCTGGAATTCCAAAATAATCAAAATAAGTAAGTTTGAAGTTGCTTATCTTTGATGAAGATGACTATTTCATTTTTCCCCATATCATTTTTAATTTAGGGAAAGTTCCCGAAATAGGACTAAAACAGTTTGAAAATTTCAAAATAGGACTATCATGTTTTTTATTCTCAAAATAGGACTAATTACTGCCATATTTAGACATGTTTGAAGTCTGGTACTGCCAAAACATGACGGTAATTAGTCCTATTTCGGGAATAAAAACATGACAGTCCTATTTTGGAAATTCAAATCGTTTTAGTCCCATTTCGGGTAATTCCAAAAAATGGGACTAAAACAGTTTGGAAATTCCAAAATAGGACTGTCATGTTTTTATTCCCAAAATAGGAGTAAATATTGCCATGCTTTGGGAGTACCAGACTTCAAACATGACAGTATTGTCTAAACATGGCAGTAATTAGTCCTATTTTGGGAATAAAAACATGACAATCCTATTTTGGAATTTTCAAACTGTCTTAGTCCTATTTCGGGAACTTTCCCTTTTTAATTTACTAGTAAATATATCTTAACTAATGTTTTTCATGATTAAGTTGACTTGGTCATTTCAGCAATTCTAGTAGATGCTTCTTTCAACGTTATCAAACTGGGTTCACATTAAAATAGATTTTGAAAGTTGAAACCGAAATTGTAGGATGGGAGGTGATGAGTTGGTTCTGATCGTTATGGTGAGACAAATGGACGATATTGTAAACTTGTTGTCTTACTGTAGATGAGTTTGTATACCGTGCAACCGGTGCATTGTGAGCACCATGCACCCATTGCTATATGAGATGTAACTCGTATGATCCCACATGTAACTTCAAGTTAACCAAAATGTAAATTACATTCATTCACATGTAACTCGTTGAAATGTAAACTACATTAATTGAAATATAATTTGGAAACAAATTTGATATAACTTGGGATATGTAACTTTAGACTGTTGAAATGTAAAACATTTTTATAGAGATTTAACTTCATGTATTAATTACTATATATACACACGTTGCATATCTATATATACATATATACACACACACTCCATATACTTGCATAAAATATGCTTCCTTGCTTCTCTTTAAAATGTATAAAACCTTGACAACCACGAAAAGCGAGGCAAAGAGAAGACGGAGGGGAAAGCAGGGAAAAACAATTACGGGAAATGAAAAGTTAGTGGAAGCCTTGCGTCAATTGCCTGGGAAGGGTGCTGGAGAAGAAAAATGTGCGATGATGGATCAGAGAAACGATTTTAATTGCAGAAACGGTAAGTATTGGGATCCGGCACACCATTCTCATGGTGTGTCGGTCGTACTGTCGTAGGGTATAATTTGTCATTCAAATATACATTCGTGTGACACACAGACACCAACGAATCTTTTGTGAGAAATAATTGATGTACATTTTCTCTGCAAGCTACGATTCTACGAAGGAGCATTAAATTTTTTTATTTTGTTTTTATTAATTTTTGTTATTTTGGATACACTGAACATAGTCTCTGATGGCATGACAGACCGCAAATTAAGTCAAAGCTTCACCCATAATTGACCGTTGGCTAAGCTGCTGTTCATAAAGTTGCCTGAAAATGCGATATTTTGCATCATGGTATTTCTTCACTTTTGGGTCCTTTGATGGGTAAACAACCTGCAAACACAAAACAGAAAACCATAAATCAGAAGAGGCGTACAAAAAACTATACGTACTACTCTCCAAAAGGAGCAATGATATTGGTAGCTATAGGGTTAGGGAATAGTTTATGGAGATACTGTTATTTGAGGAGAATACCATTCAATATCGCCCAAAACATAAACCTCACTCAATATCTCATTGTTACATATTTTGATTCCATTCCATATTCATCCTCTCCAGCATATCATTCTACAATTTTTCAGATCTAAATATCTTACCTATCCCAGATCTTAGTCATCCCAGAATATTTTAGGTATTCCTTCTATGAGAGCTTTTAAGGTTCAAGGATGTCTAAGATGGAGCAAGGGTGAAAAGGAAGTGGAAGTTTTGATTGATAGTGGGGCCACTCATAATTTCATATCACAAGATCTGGTAGAGCTCTTGAAACTGCCTCATACCATTGTTTCAGGATACAAAGTCCAAATTGGGAATGGGGAGAAGATTACCAACAATGGTAGATGTGAAGATCTGATTTTATCTATGCAAGGGACTGATGTAAAGCAGAAATTTTATATTCTGAATTTGGGAGGGACTGATTTAGTACTGGGAATGGAGTGGTTAACCAGCTTGGGAGATGTGGAGATAAAGTTCCAGAAACAAAGCATTAAATGGAAAATTGAGGGGTTGGATCAAAGCATACAAGGAGACCCCCAACTAAATTCTATAGAGGTTTCCTTGAAAACAATGTCACAGATAATACAGGATACTGGGGATGGATTTATTGTATATCCTTAAGGGAGTTCAGTGCCATTGGAAGGAGAAAAGGTGATGGATCAGATCTGGAAGGATATTGTGGTCGAGTTTCCAGAAGTTTCCAGACCCATACAGGGTTTACCTCCAAACCGAGCTTGCAACCATGCCATCAACATTAAAGAAGGAGCTGAGATCCCCAACATTAGACCCTACAGGTACCCACAGTATCAGAAGACAGAGATTGAAAAGATCATTAAAGAGATGCTGAGTTCTGGAATTATACAGCACAGTAACAGCCCTTACAGTAGTCCCATTTTGTTAGCTAAGAAAAAAGATGGGGGCTGGAGCTTTTGCGGTGATTACAGGGCGTTGAATAAGATAACTATACCAGACAAATTCCCTCTACCTATAATTGAGGAGTTATTGGATGAGCTAGGAGGAGCTACTATATTTTCCAAGTTAGACCTAAAGTCTGGTTATCATCAGATCCGGATGAAGGAATCTGATATTCAAAAGACAGCTTTCCGAACACATGAGGGACACTACGAATACCTAGTTATGCCTTTTGGGCTTACCAATGCCCCCTCCACCTTCCAGGCTCTCATGAATCAGGTGTTAAGGCCATTCTTAAGACAGTTTGCCTTGGTATTTTTCGATGACATCCTGATATATAGTAAGACTGAAGAAGAACATCAGGAGCATCTGAGAAAGGTTTTCAGAGCATTAAAAGAGAATGAGTTGGTGGTCAATCTAAAAAAATGCTCTTTTGGACAGTCACAGTTGGTATATTTGGGGCACATCATTTCTGGAAAAGGAGTGTCAGCAGATCCTGCCAAAATTGAAGCCATGGTTAGCTGGCCTGAACCTAGAGATTTGAAGGGACTGAGAGGTTTCTTGGGGTTAACAGGCTACTACAGAAGGTTTGTAAAAGGGTACAGTCAAATTGCCTTACCTCTTACACAACTTCTGAAAAAAGACAGTTTTTGGTGGGGTGAGAGAGGCCTTTACCTAAGTGTTTGGGTGAAGACCTTGAATTGCAGGTAACACCGTAGAAGATGATGGATTCCAGAGTGAATAAAGAGGGCAAAATTGAGGTGCTGATACACTGGAAGGGGCTACCAAGTTTTGAAGATTCTTGGGAATTGGTACAAGTGATGATAGAGCAATTCCCAGAATTTCACCTTGAGGACAAGGTGAATTTTCAGGGGGGGAGTAATGATAGACATCCAACTCAGCAGCCCACTCAGTATTTTAATAAAGTGTATCAAAGGAGGAGCCGGAAGATAGTTAGTTAAATAGCTAAGTAACTATTAAATGATACTTTATCCCTGCGTGGATATTTTTACTATAAATAGAATAATAGAAGCTGTTTGTCAGTAGGCTGTTATTTGGTTGTGAACTTGGCTTTTGGAGATTGGGCGTCTCGAATAGTCCCTGAGCACTGTATCCCCGTGAACTGTTCAGTTGGAGAATAAACCTTTCGATCTGATCTTCTACCTTGTTATTGAATTCTTACTTTTCTGCTTTGAAAGTTATCTGTGATCTAACAGTGTGCCTCTGTCGCAACTCGCAAGGTCGAAGAGGACCTACAGTTTCTGCGTTCTTGCGTCTCACGGTTGAAGACGACCTGCAGTTGCTGCGTTCCAGCGTCGCAAGGTTGAAGATGACCTGCGCTTCTCCTCCAGCTTTTTATTTTATCTGTTATTCACTTAGCCTTCATGTCTCTATCCGACTTCTTATATTCCAGTATATTAATACTCCGTATGTTTTATGTCCAAGAGTATACCCACTTAAAGTACGGAGTATGTTTTAAGTTGTAGACATAGCCGAATGATTTTTTTATATACACACGCATACATAAACCTTTTTTTCATTTATTAATTGTTGGTATCAATTCTAGGTAATATATACAATTTAATTAGTAATATATCATACATAGTACTTCGTATATAACATATAATAAATTACAAATTAAATACAATTAAATACAATATAATGTTATATGCAAATATATATAATTATATATATGAAATATAATATTTTATACAATGTGCGACTAGTCGCCTAATTGTCGCCTAAGCAGGCGCCTTGTCGCCTAGGCGATATGGCGGTCGGCTGGCGCCGCGACTCGCCTTACCGCCGTGACAAGTATGCATCTCAGTCGATATCAGGAATCCTTGCCTGAATAGTCAATATTACCCATCCCATTTCTTAACTCCAACCAAAATTTTACAAGTCCCTACCTGAACATTCACATGACCTCCAAGTTTATCTAATTACATCACTATTGGATCGAGGCACTTTAACAGCCTGGTTCCTCCTTTTAACAGACTTCCTAGTGTGTCACACATTCTTGCACTACAAAGTAGGACTGGATTCGATTCGGATCCCAAACCGATCCAACAAATCTTCGAACCGAACCGAAATATCGGTTACTCAAATAATTACACCCGAAACCGAACCGCTCATGGATCGGGTGCCGGTTTATTGGGAACCAATTTTTCGGGTCGGGTTGTCAGAAACCGAAACAAACCGATTAATATAATAAAAAAACAAAAAATTGAAGTTGCATTCGACCCATAAAGCTGAATATATCTGGGCTTTAGAATATTGAGCCCACTAACCCCAATATATCAAGCTATTAAAATGTTGAGCCCTTTAAAGGCCACTTAAATCCGAAATAACCGGATTACGTGACTTGAATAGTCACCATTTTAACTTGAAGTAGAGCCTTTGTTATATAGATGTCTTTGGAGGAGTAAATCTCTTCTTTTTCCGGTGTGGGACGAAGTAATGGAGGAGAGAAAAAGATAAGGAGAGAAATAATAAAACTAAATGGGCGCCAGTGAGACTCGAACCATTGACGCCTTGGCAAGGGAATGAGCTGCGCGACCAACGCACTAAGGCTTCCAATACGTTTGTAGTGCTCCCTACCGGAACTTATATCATTTGTAAACGCCATTAGTACTAATGATAATTATCATTATTATCATTAAAAAAATCGGTTCGGTTCGGTCCAAACCGATAATTTCAGCATATAAACCGATTTCGAACCAATATTTTTTCGGGTCCCAAAATTTATCAGTTCGGTCCGGTTCAATTTTTTTCAATGCGATTCGGTTATTTTCGGTTCGGTTTTGGGTTTTTCAGTTCAAAATGCCAGCCCTACTACAAAGTTCTGAGGTCATTAGTTGTCATATTCTTCTTAAAGCTAATTAGTGATAAGTAGGTACACATTAACCATTTGACATAATGACATCATCTCGCTGAGTTATTAGCATCATGATTTGGTTGCATGACAATATGTTAGCAGTGTGTTTCTTCGATTAAAACATGTTTAAGCATGTGCAACCAAATAACAAATGGTAACACTGCAGCAACCAACAAGAATATTCACAACCATCAACATAGCATGGTTAGACCAGCAAATACATTAGAAACCAATAACTCTGAAGAAGTGATCAGAAACAAGCATATTACGAATATTTATACTGTTGTGTTAACCAGTAGACTGTCCAAACTTGAAGCAGTTATACTTTCCAGTTTGAGGAGGAGTGTTGTCCATGAACTCTTTAGCATACTGTTTCAGAAGTCCGTTTATTCATATTCAAGGTTTCATTTCCCGCTCCAAGTATGCAACACATTTAATATTTCATTGAATATATTTTCCACCCTCTTGTCTTCATTTTATTTAGCTGTTGTTGACTGGTGGGAGGTGGCTCCCACATTTCACACTTTTAATTATCCTCAGTGTTCAACTATTTTTTCGAGCATTCTACCATGACATCTTGGTAAGTAGTTGTTAAGTATAACTAAATAAAAGCGCTAACGGGGTGTGATGTGTCTAACCATATATAGTGGGTTATGCCCAATATATCAACATGTTTGTGTATACACATTATGCATTTTAAGCATTAATAGTATTACTATTCTGTATTACTCTTTCTCATAACAATAAGAATAACCACAAGCTGAACAGCAGAAGGGAAAACGGAGGTCGCTAGACCAGGAAACTCAAAGAGAACAAGCATGCAATAAATTCCTTACTGATGTCATAGGGCCAATGGGGGTCACTAGACGAGTAAGCCACAGCTTGCTAATAAAAGTATAAAACAAGTTAGTTAGCCTAAGCCTCTATGGCAGTACATACCTTTCCAGCTGCATTCAAAGCCTTCATAGCATCATGAATAGTGGGATATTTCTTCGAAGCAACAACACCAAGGATTGCAGCTCCCAAGAGCACTGGCTCATTTTCGCGCGGAAGGATTACGGGGTAGCCTATTCCATCAGAAGCAAGGAGAGCCAGTAGATTTTGCAACACCATTTAGATTGTAAAGAAAAAGCAAGTGAAAGTATATGCATGAGGATCTCTGAATTAAAACTATGTGACAACTCCTAACACGGTTCAACATGAATGAGAAAAGTATATGCAACAACAACAAGATCCAAGCCTCATTCCCAAAAGAGTTTGGGGTCGGCTAACATGATTGACATATGATATCAGAGTCAAAAACAATAAATAGAGAAAAGGGGAGACAAAGTATATGCAACCATAATAAAAATTATATATGAAAAATCAATTAAATAAATTCCTAGGAGGTTCCTAGGATACTCACATGCATGGCCCATGTAAAATGTTTCAGCTCTAAACATGGAATATCAATGTATCAAAATGATGAACCATCTATAGATATACATAAACAGTTAAACCTATAAATATTAAGCATAACTTTGCATTAGACAAAAAGACACAAGCAAAGTAGTCAGAGAAAGAGACCAATGATATCTGACTGTTCTTGGATGAACAAGGAGTTCTTAGCAAGGCCACCACATGCAAGTAGTGTGTCAATCTGGAAGTAAAAAAGTGAGACAAACTGGATAAGAGTAAAGGACATTTGATATGCATAATAGTCATGCAAACAAATTATAATCATATGAACACATGAAATGAATATGGGGTTCACTTTCATTCAATAATGAAATACTATATTCGTAAATGGTGAACTGCAAAACCCTCTAGCCACCCTACACACACTCTCAATCCACATGGAGATCAGAGGTCTTTCACATGGCATAGCCGCATAGTACCAAACTACCAATTCAGTAGACTTCTTCAGAAACATTTAAGTGTTTTGCAGTGTCTGGTCATTCGCCTACCCCAAAATCTTTTGGAAACAAGGCTTGGATGTTGTTGCAGTGTCTGGCCATATAAATTACTTCTCGTAAAAATAATGAGATAACCAAGATTGAGCTTGTATTTTATAGTATGTGATACATATAAGGATCTAAATTAGCATCAAATCTGAAATTTATCAAATAAAAGAGCTAACATAGCTGGCTGATAACAGATTTAGGATTATCAAATAATCACCAAAGAAATGATTTATCTGATTTGTACTTCTTAATTTATGACTTACTTATTAATTTGTAATACTATATATGTATTAGACTATTATACCTTCATTAAAACTTAAGCCTAGATAGCCATTAAAACTCGGTGCCTCACCACCTCAGTGACATTAAAGCATAAACAACCTTTCCATTTACTAGCGCTGATAGACTCTTTGGCATCTTCCAACGCCTTTTAGCCTAAGCCACGTTCACCATTTAAAACTATGCTTATATGTTTTATAGAGAGGGAGGCTTTAGAAAAAACGAAATAGCAAGGTTAAAACAAAATATAAACTATCGATTCTCACGTCTAGCACTCTTATCACTCGAACCACACCATGTACTTGTATTATATAATATATGCATACACACATACACAAAATAATAATACTATTGTAGTAAAGATATAGATAAGAAAACTGAAAAGCAAAACGGCTAAAAAGAAGTCCTGAATGAATATTATCATGTGCATTAATTCGAAACACAATGACGAAAGGAAAAATGAATACACATGGTAAGGCTCTAATGTAAGGTGCTACTTTTAGAAAACTCTTCTATTGGAAAAAAGGGATTTTTTCTCATAACTTGGACGGAGAGAAGCTTTGGTATTATATGGCAGAACAGGATCCCGTCTTCTAGTATATGCGAGGCTGATAAGAAATATTAAAAGCGAGAGGCAGGTTTCTAAGACTTTGAGTTGAACTAGCCAATCGACTGATTCAATCCTTTAGGATAAATTGATCCAAGTGCATTGTGGCCTTTCAGTGGCCACTAACCCTGAAATTATGCCATAGTACTAGAGCAGATTTTAACCCAACTCTTTTTTCTAATTGTCTAACCTGAAGTCCTTCCCCAGTGGTTTGTAAGTTGTTACCTTGGTTCGTAATTTAGACCGAGCTAGAACCTTGTAGAGTTGTAGCCTTTTTAATCTGGTTGCCTATATATGGAAGTCCATGCCCAAGAGTTCGCAATCTTTTAGGTGTTGACATGCTCTCACTGCAATTTGAACTTTAGTTTCATTGGAGGGGGCTCCATATGAAAGTTACCAGCCGCTTAGAATCGAAATGATTCAGTTGTCCACTTGAGGAGAGTATAAGAAATTAATAAGAGAAATGTAAGTTTGGTTGGAATAAATAATCGATTGAGTTTAATGACTTTAATCATTTGATGTGATTTCGGAAGTGCATTATGGCCAAGTTGGATGATCCCAAGTTCTCAACCTAATCCTAAATGTTCATGGCTAGTAGTAGAAAAGGTGGTAACCGCAGTATCCAGTGGTAATTGGTATCAACTTCTGAAAATAGTTCTCTATTTTGGAAAACATAAAAAAGTAGTTTCCTAATTTTCTGAAAATGTGAAAAACTAGAATACATTTTTTTTGTTTTCGAAATTCGAAAAACTGGTGAAGTAAAGATGGATTTGTTTTCTAAATTTTGAAAACAAGTGAGGTTAATATGGTTTCTATTTTCCATAAAGAAGATAGTTTTTTCAGTAAGTAAACATTCCCCAAGTTATAGTACATTTGTACTGTCCATACTGAATTAAAAGATCTCTTATGATCTTCTACATGCGCCCACTATGAAATTGGTATAATTTAGTATGTACCATTTCCACCTACCTCATCTTGTAAGGTGAATAAAAACAAGACGGCACTTAAAAAAACAATAAGTACAGTACCCAACTAAGATCTGCATTCTATTTTACATCAAATGTCCCTATGAAATGAACAAGAATACAGTGATCTAAATTTGCAAAGAAATGTGAAAGAGATACAAGTTAGAAAGCAATATTTACATCAATCTCATCTTAACAGCTCAATAAAATTACCCAATCAACTAAAGTTTTAATCAGATTGTGAGTTAACTACCCAATAAAACTACCCAACTACCCAAATGTACACCTGACCCCATGAGTCACAATACAGATATATGATTACATAGTAGTCCTTTAAGTTTGTGTGTGTGTAATTATTTATTTAGAGGCGTAGAGCCAGGAAAGATCCTTACTTTATGGCCATTCGCATTGCAGTGCTCTACAATATGACGGGTACCGTATGCAATACCCTGTAACGAGGCTAGGTAGAGAAGAGACAGCTGCTTTTCACTAGTGTCTAGAGTCATACCAGAAACTACTCCTTTTGAGTTAGGGTCTGCAAAGGGAGATCTGATGTAGGAAGTTAGTGCAGATTTTAGATACATAATAATGAGCTCATTAAAGCTGCTGTGTTACCTGTTCCCATGGAAATCTGGGAGGACATGTATATCATCAGTCAAAGCTGCAGTAAATGGGGCTTCCACATCATTTTTCATAGATTCTAATATCTTATTCAGCAATTCAAACACCGAAATTCCTGTGAAAGGTGAATAACCAAAGAAAAACTGAAGACTAGCATAATAATATATCAAATATTACACACATTGTTGTCCAAAGGCATTAAATCTTAACTCAAGGGAAATGACATTGAATGGAATATATGTTTACAATGAGTTACAAAACTTTGTAATATTTTACTTTGAGATGCAGCACAGTTAGCGAGATGTGGAGATGCCACATGATTTTCAATCACGTGATCCAGCAATGAACCAGTGGCACTCTGACCACCCTCTGTAAGCCAGTACTCAGGGACCATTGCTAAATACATCAGGAAAGGAAAGGTTACAAGTGGAACTTCATCAAAGGAACAGCCTAAAACTCAAATATATGTAAGACAATAATGTATATTTTAAATTCAAGTACTTATAATGGATGCCACAACTAAAATAGTATTAGTTATACTAACTAGTAGTTGCATAAATAACATACATTCTAACAGTAATACTATCGCAATGCAAATGAGTAAAGCATCAAAAGTAAAGCAGGATGAAATTTTAGAAAAGCAATAACAAATGCAATCGTCCTATGCAGGCTAAGAGATGGGGAAACAGTCGTATACATCATTTAAAAGGTGCTTTTCTGATTTCTATCCATTTAGATTTCATTTACAAAAAGATGAAAGCACAATTAAGTGGGTCCAACAAACAAGAAAGTTGTTTGGTTAACAAAAGACCTAAAAGCATGTTTGAATGTAATTGGAACTCCATTTGGCAAACAGAGCTTACAATTGTTTTTAAATTCTCAAATGGTGTTGCTGCATGAGAGCGCATGCAAAAACACCATGAGGTGGATTTCTTGGCAAGAAGTCGTGACAGTCCCATCAAAGGGATATAAATTTATCTGGAGAATTTTGTCAAAAAAGAAGGCCAAATGGAGCTGCACATGCCGACGTGTGGCCGGAACTCAACTAGACGTGAGGGCGTGTGATGGTATTTTGTTGTGGGCTTCTCAACAAGTGATTGCAATTTGCAAGAAGGTACCGATCAAATAGTGGTTTTCATCTGAAAAGGACAACAAAAGCAGCCGCACACATCGGCACATAACGAGGTTGTTGAAACTCAAGACAAATAAGGTGGGGCTTCTAGCGAGTGGTTGCCAGAAGGTTTCGATTCAGATGAACAGAAGGACGAAAGAATCTGCAGGTGTCAGCATATGGAGGCATGTGGTCGGAACTCGAGAATACTACGGTGTTGCATGAGGTTGTATGGAATGACACTTTGTGGCTGCTTTCTCAGTGAAGGGTTGTGATGGACCGCCGAAGGGTAATCCTGGAAAATTATTTAAGAAAAGAAGGCCAATGGCAACAGCACATGTCACCACATGGCCGGAATTCAGCAAGACTAGGGTGCTGCATAAGAGCGAATTTTATGGTAGCCTCTGGGTAACTTCTAGATGAAGGGTCACAAAAAAGTTCCATTACAAATGGTGGTGTTCATTCTCCAATACAACTACCAAAATATGTCAGGTGAGAAACACTCGAACACTAGTTGCAAGATACATTGTTCATGGATGGAAAAGAATAAAGGACAGGATACCAACAGTAATTTGGGTTTAGAGCACAGATCCAATTCATATTGGATACAAATCTATTACATTTATTGAGATATTCCTTCCAAATGAACGAGATGTTACGGTTTCGAAGCCTAGATGTTCATTGTTTAGTGTCTATACATTAAGAACAATGATAAAGTTAAAATAAAAACAATAATAATGACAATAATATTAAACAATGACGAAAACATCTAACATGATAGTTATTATAATTTTTAATACCAAAAATAACCCTCTGTCTCATGATATTCTTCTCCTTTGCTTTTAAGTTTGTTTATTAGGCAGTAAAGTTATGTGGTTGAGATTTTTACTCAGGAAGGAAGACTCAAGATAAACATTAAACTACACAATTCTTACACTGAACGAAATGAGAGCTATTTGAGACGAACCAAAAGGAAATTGGAACAAACATTTTGAGCCTGAGAGAGTAAATATAATAACAAAAGGTGGCAAACAAGTTCTTCTTAAGAGATGGAGTCATACATGACCAGAAAGGACCCCAGACCCCTGGTATGAACAACTTTGTTTGAGACACGGCCAAGTGGCAAGTGGAAGTGCCACATACCAGAACCATACGGCGGCATATGGATTCAGCATCAGCTTCTACATACACATTAAACTCCTCTGCTAAGTAAATATTGTTGATACAGACATTAAACATAAAAATTATAACAGCAGACAAAACAACCTTTTGGTTCAGCATCAGATGTAGACAAACTTTCCATTACCCCCACACCGCCAGCATGAGCATCTATTAGTGAGGTGCCTACAGGTATCCCAGCCACCAAACCCAAATCCTGAAACGAAAGCAGCTTTCTAGTCAAATTTGTTAAAGCATAAGCTCCAAAATATGTGAAGTTAAAGCTTAATTATCGATAGAAAATCTTGCCTTGGCAGCTGCCAGGGTTAGGCCAGAGCCCAAGGCATGACCAGGGAAGGCTACACTTTTTCCTGGACATAATTACATCTATAAGTAACGTAAAGGAAAAAATTGAACATCAGAGATATTTCCAAGGAGTGCAATTTCAATCAAGGTTTACTGCTAAAAACATCAACAAGGTGGTAAGCCATGGCCACTTAAGATCCTAAAAAAAATAGTTGGGGTACACAAAGTAGCACGGAATTAAAAAATACAGGATATGAAACATGGAGAAAAGATTAAATGAATACGTAATCATATATATATACACACACACACATAGCATGGTTAAAATAAAAATATGTTTACTTTTGAGAAATGCAAAATATTCACTTTTGGTTCTCTATGCTACACTTTAGTCCAAATACTGCATTTTTCGCCTTTTTGCAGCGGAAACAATAATTCACTCTATTAAGAATTGCAATCATGTTTTTCATCATTTTTTCAGTTTTGGCACTTTTAAGAGCCACAAGATCTCAAAACTGACGTGTCAGATTCATTTTCTTTTTTGGATGAAATGTAAATGTATATATCACCCAGAAAAAGGTTTAGCAAAATACAATGCATCAAAGAACCAAAAATAGTATCCAACCCTTCCCACCCCCACCCCCCCTCCACCTTGAGGTATTGGGCAGGGAGAGAGGAATTTTTTATATCAAAAGGGCACATCACAACCTGGCATGGGACATGCCTGGGCTCAGGTGTCAAAAATCAGTCACACACTGGCTACCGAGCCAGTGAAGGCCCATTAGTCAGTTACAAAATAAACAAGTCCAAAACCCGTAGGTCCATCAAAACTTCCAGGCGAGTAGGCGACCATGCCAACGAAGGCCCTTTAGCCCTTCCGTGTCGGAAGTTGACATCCAGGACACGAGCCTGGAGCATCTTCAAAGCGCAGGCCCAGTCCAGCCCAGATCCATCTGCCTCCTCCCAGCGGGCTAGGGTTTGGCTCAAGGGTTCTGGGTCAGCCCAGTCGCATAAGCCCACCATCTCTTTCGAGCAGTGCCACAGACAAAAGGCGCCAAGGTCAGTGAGCTACAGTATCCTACTCGAACAAAGCAACAACCTGTCCCAGTCACCAGCCGACACGTCAGATCGGTGGCTACCCGTCCAGTCATCTCTCCGGCGAAGCTCCGGTAGTCATTCTATAGCAGAAAGTTCCGGTCTACAAGCCACGGCTTCTTCGCGGCCAATCGGCAAAATCTCAGCAATCAAATTCACAAGTCATAACCAGAGACGTCCCGGAAAACCCAAACAAAACACCGGCAAGTCCTAATCCTCGTTTCCATCCAACCCTCTGCGAGTCCCTGGAACCCAGTAGCAGCGTTGAGACCAGGGAGCAAACCGACACCTGTAGAACCCATCTACAAGACTACAACCAGTCCAAACCCAACGCTCAGCCACGAATGGAGGTTGCTGTGAGCGCCAGAGGTTTTCACTCTTGGACGAGTGTCGGAAGCAAGGAATGGAGCGGTGACCGGCTGTCAGAACTCCAATTACAGACCGGTCCTTGGTCCAGACAGCTCCGGTCACCATGGTTACTTACCTGTGGGTAAACCTAGACAAAACTGCCCTGATCAAGGTTTCCCCCATGGCTAGTCTGCAGAGGTTACCCCAATCCCTCCCACAAACGACAGAGAGAAGCCAACAATAGTTGGGAGCAAAATGCACCAGAGAACCATCTGCCACGGGTCGCCAGAGCAACCCCAGCCAGTCCAAACCAAGAGAAATGGAAGAGAGAAGACAGGAAGAAGAACGAATTTCGTACTTACCATTTTTGTTGAGTTTGAACCATCTTCGTTGAAACTTTGATGAGCGAAGTTCATTCTCCTTCGATTGAAACCTAGCCTCCGTAACTCCGTTCGCTAACGTTCCAGACCCATCCCTCAAGCCTTCTTTTTAGCTACTGGACACGCATAGTAGCTGCCATGGCGTCTTCAAACGAGTCTCCTTCTGCGGACTTCACCAGAACTTTCCAAAAAGAAATGGGTAGACCCCATAAGAACGAAGTAAAATCCTTGGCCCACCATGGGTGGTGGTTCCTGAGAACACGGGGATGAGAGGGCGACCTAGGAGGAATCCTAGTGGGAGTCACTCTCACTATTGAGATAGTTGATGCTGAAGAAAGCCATTTATGTAGATATTACGTATGGCTATGAAGTTTGCATAAAAAGAAAATTAATGAATTATGAAGCATTTACAAATAAACCAAGAACACTCAGAAATGGAAATCTTAGAGGTTGAGAAGCAGTGGGCAGTCAAACAGGTTGGAGATAAGAGATTGAGAGACCGGTTTATATTCAATCAGAAGGCGGCAACATGGCTTCAAAAGAAGCATGAAGAAGAGACGAGCTTTAACCCTTTCATCGTGTTGACTTATAATGAAATAATGAATAGGTTATCAATGATACTGTTCATCTCGAAGATGATCTTTTGTGGTCTCGAGTTAATGAAGCTATGGCTGCATCAGGGGTTCACAGACTCACAATCTTATTGGGAGAGCTTGTGTTGGCGATGTCAGTATGTTACTACTTACTAGTTTCCGTGGTGAACATTTAGAGTTAATCTCGAAGTCAGAGATCCACTCCCACATGAAAAATGATTGATAAAAGTCAGAGATCCACTCCCACATGAAGAATGATTGATAAAGAAAAGTTTGATATGAAGTAGAGCATTTTCTAAATTCCACCTACTCCTCCTAGTCATGACAATGGTAATAATTTCTTTATGATATTTGTGGCTCCTAGTTTAGTTTATAGGAAATGGATATTGAATTAGTATGATAAATTAGAAACGATATGGAAGTATATTATATTTCATGATATATATATATATAGGGAGCGGTTCCAATGAGAACCATGCTTAACGTGAGAACGTGAGAACCATGCACTTTTAACACAATTGCGTGCACTATGAAGCTAATTTATTACACTTTTTCAATTTCGGCCAAAACATGCCAACACCAAGTAAATATGGTGGCAGACTCGTAAATATTTCGTCAACACGAAAATGTGCAAGGTATAAGTGATATAGTGCATCACATTTGCTTAAAAGTGGAGTTCTCACGTTCTCACGTTAAGGATGGTTCTCATTTGATCCTGAAATCTATATATATATATATATATATATATATATATATATATATGTTACAACCTTGGTTGCAACCAATACAATTAAATAACTGAAATGAATTTCACTAAATTACCAATTTTAGCATGGTGCCCATCAACAAGATCGCCTAAGCCAATCTCCACCCAGAATTCATCATCCCATCCACAAGCTTCCATACTGCGAGAGTCTTTCTCATTGACCTGATGCATATGAGCATGACCAAGATATGTCCATTTGCAAACAGTAGTGCATAGGCTCCGGGTATCATCTCCTGTTGCTCTATGTGAAATTGAAATCCATGAAAGATGACATTTGTAACCATTAAAACATTCAAAAGATCTGCATCAGAAAAAATACCTTACCTATATGAAAGCCAATCACTCAAATCCATCCACCTAAATGCCATTGACCAAGACTCTTGCATGTTTTCCTTAACCCACAATAGCTGAAATGCAGAAGAAAATAAACAGTAGGGTAGACGCATATTCAATAAACAAGAAAAGGTTGTGCATTAAGTGAAAGCAATTTCACTCAGTTCTTCTAGTAACATGTTAGATACACATCATGTAATAGACTAGAAGAATCATCTTAAAACAGTATACTAGATGGGGGCCCGGTTGTTATGAAGTTAGTTAGATTTATAACCAATTGTCTAAATACTTGTACTCGGTTCATTTTTGAGATCAATCTGAAATAGTATTATCTCTTATCTTCTTCCTCTTCTAATATGGTATCAGAGCACATGCTCTAGATCGATCCAATAATGGTGTCATCTAACTCAGATTCTGTAACCTCCACAAATTCTTCTTCCATTGTTACTTTCGCACATCAACTTCCGATCAAGCTTGATGCTAATAATTTCATTTTTTGGAAGCATCATGTTGAATCAATCGTTCGTGCACACAAACTCCTTCGGTTCATCATCAAACCAGAAATTCCGAAGCAATTTGTCTCCAGTGCTGATGAAGAAGCTGGAAACGTGAATGAATTGTATATTACCTGGGAACAACAAGACCAAATGCTCTTCTCGTGGTTGCTCGCATCCTTGTCTGAATCGCTTCATGCACGAGTGATCCATTGCAGACATTCATATGAGCTCTGGAATGAGATCAACACGTTCTTCAGAGCAAGTATTGTTGCGAAGGCCAGACGGTTGAAATCGGAACTGTATACTACTGCGAAAGGTGATCGTACTATTTCTGAGTACCTTCTTTGGATCCAAACCATCGCTGATAATCTCCTCTCTATTGGCGAACCGATAACCACTAAGGAACACATTAATGTGATTTTAGAAGGTTTACCGGAGGAATATGAATCCCTAGCATCATCTATTTCTTCTCGTAGCATTCTCGACCCTCCTACTTTGTCGGAAGTCAAATCTCTTTTGTCTGCCAAAGAGGTGCGATTGCAGAAACTTCGTGAATCGTCTCAGACGAATCTATTGTCTGCTAATGTAACTCGTCTGGAGGTTACATCCACAACTAATCAATCTGCCAGTGAAAATACTCCAAACAATGCTTCGATTCAACCTGCTCAGTTTAACAACAATGACAACCCTAACTCTTATCGAGGAAGAGGTCGTGGAGGTTTCAACCGAGGTAGAGGAGGAAGATTTGGAGGTCGCTATTCAGTCACATGTCAAGTTTGTGGAAAACCAGACCACCATGCATTGATATGCTATCACCGCTACAATCCAGCCTACACTGCTTCAAATTCCACTCCCTCAAATCCCTATACCCAACATTCTAGTTTTCCTAATCCTAATCCTCAACCACCATATCCTAGTACCTTTCCACAAAGATCTAATTATCCTCGGTCACAGTTTCCTCAGCCACAATTCAACTGGGATCAGATATCATCTTACCATACTTCACCATCTCCTACACAACACCAATATCAACCCACTGCTACTCATCAACAACATCAACCTACTGCCAACACTTCTATTCTTGGGCCTCATCCACAAACTTGGTTTCCTGACTCAGGAGCCACTCACCATGTCACTGCAGATTCCCTTAACCTGCAGCATAGTGAGCCTATTACTATAACTGATAAACTCTTTATGGGCAATGGTCAAGGTTTGGACATCAAGTCTATTGGTTTTACTTCCTTTCCTTCCTCTTATCAGTCCTCTATTTCTCTCTCTCTCTCAGAAATATTCTACATGTGCCTGCAATAACCAAAAATCTGATCAGTGTTAGTCAGTTTGCTAAGGATAACAATGTCTATTTTGAATTTTATCCTTATGATTGCTTGGTGAAATCTCAGGGTTCTAAGCAAATCCTCTTACATGGAATTCTGGGAGAAGATGGTCTCTATAGATTCAAATCCTTTCCTGCTGTTGGTTCACATCAAAGTCCTATATTTACTAGCCAATCTTCTATGTTCTCTTCATACTGTTCCAAGTCTAATGTTTTGTTATCTACTTGTAATAATGCCAAATCATGTAGTCTTATTTCAACTTGTAATCTTTGGCACCTTAGGCTTGGTCATCCTCACTTTGAGGCTCTAAAACTTGTTCTTCAGCAATGTAATGTTTCAAACATCAATAAAAAAGAGATTGACTTTTGTTCTGCTTGTTACATGGGTAAGGCACATAAGTTACCTTCCTATTCTTCCACCACCGAATATAACCATCCTTTTGAGTTAGTGTTTACAGACCTATGGGGACCAGCCCCCATTTCCTCCTTTGATGGATACTACTACTACATAGCATTCATTGATGCATATACTAAATACACTTGGATCTATTTTCTCAAACGAAAATCAGATGCTCTTACAGCCTTTAATAACTTTTCTCAATATGTTCTGAACCAGTTTTCTACCTCAATAAAGTCCATTCAATCTGACTGGGGTGGTGAATTTAGGTCTTTCACTAAACTCCTCACTGAAAAAGGCATTATACATAGAGTTATTTGTCCTCATACACACCATCAAAATGGTGTTGTAGAAAGAAAACATCGTACCATTGTTGAAAAGGGCCTTTCTCTTCTGTCCCACTCCTCCTTGCCTCTTAAATTTTGGGATGCAGCTTTTGCTACATCTGTTCATCTGATAAATAGAACACCATCCAAGTCAATCTCTAATTCCAGTCCATACTTCAAACTGCATAAATCTGTTCCAGATAATACCTTTCTCAAGGTTTTTGGTTGTGCCTGCTACCCTTTCACCAGACCCTATCATAAACACAAACTAGACTTTCACACTGAAGAGTGTGTTTTCATGGGCTATTCACCAAGTCACAAAGGCTATAAATGCTTATCATCCTCAGGGAAAATTTACATCTCCAGAGATGTTATTTTTCAAGAAACCAAATTTCCTTATCCTACTTTGTTCAAACCTACTTCATCTGCCTCTTCTTCTAACCTCCATCTGGATCATCCTTCTGTACCTATTAGTGTTCAGACCTTCATCCACCCTCCCAACACCCCTGAATCTGAATCCTCAAGTGCTGACTCTGTATCTTCTCAAAACCACCCTCCAAACACATCTCATGAACACCATCCATCTCTCTCTAATAATACTCAAAGTCAATCTTCCTCTCATGAATCACAATCCTCATCTCATGAACACCCTCCCAACACATCCCATGAATCACACTCCTCACCTAGCCCTCATTCTTCTTCATCTGATTCTTTTCACCAAACTACTCCACCTCCTTCAGTTCCTATCATCAATAATCATCCCATGAGGACAAGGGCAAAGTCAGGCATAGTAAAACCAAGACTTCATCCTACCTTACTGTTGGCTCATATTGAGCCTAAATCAGTTAAACAGGCTCTCTCTCTTCTCCACAGTGGCTTGAAGCCATGAAGACTGAATATAATGCTTTGATTGCTAATAAAACCTGGACTCTTGTTTCTCTTCCTCCAGATAAGCATGCTATTGGATGCAAGTGGATTTACAGAGTCAAAGAGAACCCTGATGGTTTTCTAAACATGTTCAAAGCCAGATTTGTGGCTAAAGGCTTTCATCAAAAGTTTGGTTTTGATTTTGGGGAAACATTTTCTCCAGTTGTGAAGCCTATCACTATAAGAATCTTGCTTACCATTGCTATTTCACACAATTGGTCCATCCAGCAGTTAGATGTTAACAATGCTTTCTTGAATGGTGAACTAGATGAGGAAGTGTACATGGTTCAGCCTCCAGGTTTTGAAGTTCAAGACACATCTCTGTTTTGTAAACTTCACAAATCACTATATGGCTTAAAGCAAGCTCCTAGAGCTTGGTTTCAAAAACTAACCTCAGTTCTTTATTCTGCTGGTTTTAAACAAAGCAAATCTGATCCTTCCCTACTCATCTATCTATCCTCTACAGTCCAAATTTACATTCTTATCTATGCTGATGATATTTTGGTCACTGGGAACAATTCAGCAGCCATAACTCAACTCATTCACAAACTCCATTCCTCATTTTCTCTAAAACACTTGGGAGAGCTTGATTTCTTTCTTGGAATAGAGGCACACAAGCTCCCAGATGGCAGTCTTCACCTATCACAGGCTAAGTACATCAGAGATGTTCTAAATCAAGCTGGCATGCTTGAATCTAAGGGAGTTATGACACCTATGGTGAGCACTTGCAAACTGCAGAAACAAGGCAGTGATTACTACTCTAATCCTTCCCAGTATAGATCCATTGTTGGAATGTTACAGTATGCAACTTTGACCAGGCCAGATATCTGCTATGCTGTCAACAAAGTGTGCCAATTCATGGCAGAACCACTGCAGGAGCACTGGAATGCAGTGAAACACATTCTCAGATAACTTTCTGGAAGTGTAAATCATGGAATTGTTATCAGACCTATTTCCTTGTCTTCTATACCTCTACCAATATCAGCCTACTGTGATGCTGACTGGGCATATGATCCCAATGACAGAAAGTCTACATCTGGCTCATGCATACTTCTTGGAACCAGCATTATTTCCTGGTGGTCAAGAAAACAACTTAGGGTTGCAAGATCCTCGACAGAAGCAGAGTATAGGAGTCTGGCAGACACCACTACAGAACTCTTATGGATTCAATTTCTATTAAAAGAACTTCAAGTCCCCTTTTCTACTCCCAGAGTATACTGTGACAACCTCAGTGCTGTTCAACTGGCTCACAATCCTGTTTTGCATTCCAGGATCAAGCACATGGAAATTGATCTTTTCTTTGTCAGAGAAAAAGTTCTGCTCAAGCAGCTTCAAGTTTATCATATTCCCTCTCTTCATAAGATTGCAGACATACTGACCAAGCCACTCTCCGGTTCCAGATTTCTTGATTTGAAAACAAAACTTAGTGTGATTGAGTTGTCAAACCAATCACCCTAACTTTGAGGGGGGAATGTTAGATACACATCATGTAATAGACTAGAAGAATCATCTTAAAACAATATACTAGATGGGGCCCCGGTTGTTATGAAGTTAGTTAGATTTATAACCAATTGTATAAATACTTGTACTCGGTTCATTTTTGAGATCAATCTGAAATAGTATTATCTCTTATCTTCTTCCTCTTCTAATATAACAGAAAGCAAGATGATTACGGATATCAGGGGGAACACATGTAATAATCTATCCGCCAAAATACTATCAAACAATGTTCTTACTTGTTTTCCTTAATAACATGCAAAAACTGAAACCATCATCATCATTACCCCAGTGCCGCAAAGGCTCCCACCAACAGTCGGGTAAGGGGGAGTTAGATGTACGCAGCCTTAACCCTGTACTAAAGTACAGAGAGACTGTTTCCGAAATGCAAATACTAAAATGCACAAGAATATAATGAAATGACAGATTTATGATATTCAGAAAACATATTGTTTGATCAAGTGAAAGCGATTTTGCTATGTTTCCACAATAGAAAGCAAGAAGTGTATGGATATCAGGAAGGCATTTAATCATGAATGAAGTACATGAGTCCATTTCAGTGAAGGGAGATCTGGATTTAAAAAAAATGGGGGCATAGTTCTCTGCATTCTCCTTTTCTGTGAACATCATAAAATCTACAGTAAGTGATTCATTCATCTTCTTTTCGTTGATTCCCTGGTTTGTTTTCTCAGTGATAGCTTAATGTTTTTCGCCTTATGGAATCACTGATGCAGTATGAAATGCAACTCTAAAATAGGCACAACTATGATAGCCAACTTTATGCATATCAGTGTAAACAGAAACCAGAATGCCTAAAAACGGAGACACCTTTTAGACTACCACTGAATTGATATGGTTTTGACACTGACACGTTGTTCTTGCTAAATAATATGGACCCCATTAAAATAAACTCACATCTTATATCTTGATCATTTTCTAATGACTAGTGGAATGCTTATATAGAAAACAAATGGACCTAATCCTTATATGTTCCTATAGTAAACAGCCCCCTCAAGCAGGTTCGTTTACATCATATGCTCCAAGCTTAATAGAAAACTTGAAATTTATTACTTGAACACTTGGAATTTCCATTGAACTAAACTTCACACGAACACGTAATTTATTCAATTAACGTCTCTTTCACTTTGACTGCAACCACTTGAAAACTGAACTCCAACTTTAACTTAACCTTAGTGCACAGACAAGCCTTTTAAACTTGAACTTTTACTTGACTTCACTTCACCTTACTTAACTTTTTTTTATTTTACTTTATTGAACTCTACTGCAAGCTTTACTTAATTGAGCTTTACTTTACATTAGATAACCCCAAATGAGCTCTACTTTGACTTGATTAAATTAAAATTGAAAATATGAAACATTGAACATGGCAACAATTCAGTTTTTATTCCTTGTTGTGCTCCTTCATTTCTTTTCTTTCTCTTTTTCCCACATTATTTCTCTACTTTTTCATTTTGCTTTTTGATTTATATTCCCCAGTCAACATCGTCGAAAAGGCTAAAAAAATATAAGCTAGGTTGTAGTGTCATTTTTATTTTGGATATGGTTTTACTTATTCAAAAATCATAGGACCTTGAGAGTTGAGGCCCACTTGTGGTGTTGGTTACCACAACAGGTTGTGTGGGATCAAAAAATCTATAATACACAAACCTTGAACATCTCTATTATCTAGTCATGTGTTCCAAGCAAATATATTGAAGTAAAGGTAGAGGAGTTGGTCCCTTCAACTCGTACATCTTACTAACTAATGTACCTTCGGAGGCTGCATCTCAGGGGAAACAGCACCACCACAATATTGTAATACCGATGATTTAGTGGAGTTGATCCTTTCGGCTTGTTTTAATGCCCTGTGGTCCATCCACACTATGACATTTCTTCTTGCATCACCACTCAAAGAAACAGTAACAGGTTCGCCATCAGAATCAATAGCAACTGTTAAGGAGACCAAAGTATCCAGATCAAAGAGCTAAAGAGCAAAACTCAATGTTCAATAAGGTCTTGTATATGACCTAAGTTAAATATATATTACAGACCCAATGAGCAAGTTGCAGCAAAGCCAAGGCCCTTTACATCATTCCCATTAATATTTGCAATAGTGCATGCTGCTTTTACAGCAGTGCAGACTGCTAACCAAATATCAGTTGAAGATTGCTGCATTCATGAAAAGCTGCCATCATTCATCATCATCATAACCATAATCTCAACTAGGTCTGTTAGGTAGCATACAAAATATATAGTCAATTAATTATATAAGTTAGTTAACACCAAATGTTCCTGCAAGAAAACAGTGATAGAGCTTTACACCAGAAGACCTAGCCACAGGCTTCTTCAGAAGAAATAATGAAATGAGATGCCAACCTCATCATCATAATAGGTTATTTCAAGTTATATGGAAATTTGTGTGAGATTGTGACGGGACATGTACCATTACAAGATGATACCGTTAAATCAACATGCAAATCATGATAGCCATCTAGGATGTAACTTAGTCACAGGAATAACAATGTCAACTAGTTTAAAACCTCAACAAAGTCACCATTTTTCCATATTTGTATGGGGCTGCTAGCAGAACCAACAAGTTTCCCATCCTCATCGAAGAGACCTGCAAAAGGAGTGGGGAGGGTAAAAGCAATATGGCCACTTTACATATTTCAAAATGAGATATCAAAATATAAATCTAAAGAACACTAACAATGAAAAGGACACAGGCACACAGCTATACTTTGACTATGTATGCGAAACATCAAGTTTCCAATTCTTTATTAGATCTGGCTAGATTTTTTAAGTTACTTGACTTGCCGTCTCCTGGTCTCCCATAGTTGTGAGTCTTACTGACAGTATTTGGCAATGCGATTCGACAAACTAATCACATACAGTTTCATGAAAAGATTTCAGAAAAGAAATTATTCTCTTAGTACTGCCCACAAAAGCCTCATGTAAGGGAAAATGAGTGGTTTTAAATTCAGATATTTGAAAGTATTCACCATTCTGATGAGACATGGTTAAAGATTGCAGATGTGGTCAGTCTTTGTCCCTAGTAGCAGTAGTGCAGAAATGGACTGAAGAGGTGAAGCTCGAAGTAGGTTAGTAGTTGAAGCTTAGGAAGCTCAAACTAAATTTGGTGCCTTTAACCCCACTGGTTTCACTTCAATTTCGTGTTCACATTCAGTATATTAACTAGCTTGGCAATTGATTTTGTATACTGATTAATTTCACAATGAAATCCCTAATTTCCTTCTTTGGTTTTTCTCTTCTTCTGCGAATTTTCCCTTATTCCTCCTCTTACTAAAATGCTCATTACAGTTTTGGCTGTAACTCTTCCAGTCTTCGTTAGAGTACATCTTCCTCGACATGCTTCGAATATCCCTAAGTGTGGAAGCTTAAACATTCCTATGCTACAGCACCTACACTGAAGAGTTACAGGATAATTGTCTGACGGCTTTGTTTGGTTTGTAACACAAACTAAATGAAAATATGTTGTTCGTCTTTTAGTTTGATTTTGTTTTAAGCTTTACGCCGGTGCAAGGTGTAGCAGATTCGCAAGCTCAGTCTTAGGGTGTTTAATACTACGTACTACACTACTACGTATATATTAGTTGCCCCGGCCCCTTTTTCTGTTTTCTTAGTTTCTAGAACGAAGCACGTACAGAACCCAGCTTGGCAGTTCGGCTCTGTCTTCAAGGTATTGTATCAATGAAATCCCTAACTTCCCTTCTCTGGTATCCTCTTCTTCTCTAAAAAACACATATTCGCCCTTCCACTAACATTCTTGTTGCAGTTTCTGGTTTGGTATATACTTCAACGCTGGATTAGAGTAGTGCACGTGTGACAAATGAACCTCTATTCTTTTAACAGTGCAGGGTTTAATCCACAGCTTGATAAAATGACAGCTACACATTTTATGAAAAGGTTGTAAAATAGAATGCACGTGTATGAAAAGGTGAGACGACAGGTGATACCTGCGCGGGCGCTACCCGTGCCGACGTCGACACCGAGGAATATGGATCGGGGCGGCGAAGTAGGGGTGGCCATTTCTACTGCGTGCATCCAAGCAGTATCACGTCCGTTATTATTGTTGACAGGGTCGTTTTATGTGGGAATGGGAGATGTTATGATAATTTAGGATTTCTTTTGGGGATTTTAAGTAGTAGTGTAGTACCTTCGTCCCAAATGGTCTGCAGAGTATATTTTTTACTCGATCAATGTCACAGCTGATTTTTTTTAATAATTATTTTCAATTTTAATACTATCTCCGTCCCAAAAGTTGATCAAAGTTAATCGTATTGAAATATATGATTAATCAAAGTTGATCATCATTGACCAACAACAGTCAATTTGGTAAACCTTTTCAAAACAGAGAAAGTAATTAAAAATTACATATTCAGAAACTACATTAAAATTTCTATAAAGGTGTAAAATCCAAATTAAAATTTAATTAAAAATTGATATCTTAATTAAATGAATAAAATGATTATGGTTGAACAAAAAGCGTAAATTTCGCAACTCAATTCGGAACGGAGGGAGCATTAAGATAATAACACATGTTATGTCATGCTATCTTTGTTCGTTTGTAATTAGTTGTCTTTGACTTTTTTCGATGAAAGATAGTAATTTTTGACTAATTATTTTAGCTAATATATAGATAGTATATGTAGAATTTAATAACTTTAAACTTTTATGATAGTACTTTTAACAAAGAACATTTTGATATCATTATTTATATTATCAGTGCTTATGTGTATTAATATATAATCAGTTAAAGTTGGAAACTGTTGACTTGAAAAGTCAATTTTGGATAAATAATAAGGGACGGATGGAGTAAATATTACGTAGTAGTATATACTTCCTTTTTTTCCTCTTAGCTATTAATCGTCATGTACTCCTTTTTAGAATGTTTTTTTTTGTACTTGTTTCTCTCCTTTTTAGTAAGTTTTTCCTAGTACGTAAAATAAGTTACTTTTATTACTTTTAAAAATTTTACTATTTACAAACTACTTTTTTGCAATCATAAATTAAGTGTTTCGCTTAATTAAACTGTAAATTTCAAATGTGGATATCTTGCAAATCATAATAAATCTAGTATCAAACATTAATATTCTAGAATCAAGCATTACAAATTAAACAAATATTATACTTAATGATTAATAAATAAAATAACATGTTTTTAAAAGTTTGGTTTGTTCAGATCGATTTGATTTTCAAAGTGAAAAACCAAAACCTAAACTAAACAACTATGGTTCGATTCAGATTATTGGAGTTCAATTTTTGTTTTCTTGCGGTTTGATTAGTTTTGCTTGCTGTTCGGATTTTGTCCATTCTATTTTCAGTTTTGGATGATTTCACCAACCCACTCCTATTTATTATCTAGAGAAAGTCTCTCTATACACTCATAGGAGTATGTTTTTTGTATGTGCACGTGCAATTTTGCCCCTCATTTTTATAAAGAGAATTGTTTGTCAACTTGAAAAATCGAATTGTCTACCGGAGAAAATATTTTTTCCCGGAGCTCATTGACAATTATCTACAATTTTGAGGCTGTATGGTGAACGTGTTTTTTGATTTCGCGCGATGAATTGTGTAATATAAGAAAAAGTAAGGTTAAAGTTTTTTTTTCCTGATTATATTGATTAAGATTACGGTAGATAATTATTCTAGCTATTTTTATATAATTTTTTTTTTATTAAAGAAATACTAGTATATTTTAAATACTCCGTATGATTTTTGAGTATGAAGAAAATTGATTGATTACCTAATGGGCCATCTTTGTAAAGATGAAAGACAAAAAAGAAGTAAAAATTGATTACAAACCGTTTATCCTCGAGAATGTCGATGACTGGTAGTTTATACGTAGTATTTGCATACACGTTCAAGAAATGCATCCCATAGATACTCATACTTTACCTGGCTACTGATAGACTGAAATGGAGTTCAACGTGAGAGTAACGGCGGGAATCGGCAACTGCTTCGTCTCACTTCCTGTTGCTCTTATAAATACTCTAGCATCCACCGCCGTCTCCGACCTTCCTCCGATTCTCGCCCTTCAGCTCCGTTCTATTCAAAGAGACTCTTGCTACAACAAACTATGGCATGTCGCGTGGTCCGGCTCCGCTTCTTCCCCTCCTTTAGCTTCCTCTATCCAGGTCCTAATTTCTATTACAGACTTACAGTACATTCATTCTCACATCCAGGCTTAAAAATCTCATATTCCTGATTTGTGTTCGAATTAAGTGTTGAAGATTGATAGTCGATATGCGGAGTGCATTGGGTTGTTGGACGGGACGGTTGTTCAAGTTCGAGTTGTTTCCAATTTGCCTAAAGCGAGTATGGTCACTATAGAGCCGGAGACAGAGGACGACTGGGAAGTCATGGAGCTTAATTCTGAGCTGGCTGAGCAAGCAATTCTGAAGCAGGTCAATCCTTCAATTTGATCAATGTATTTTTTTCTCATAGTTTTGTAATCAGCCGCTTACCCATTTTCTTTTTCATGTAACTATAATGTAAGAAATTGGGCTCATATCTATTACTCATGTCGTGTTTACTTAATTTGGTCTCATGTTCTTTTATTGTTTACTTGGTTTTTCGTTAGATTTGTCCCGAAGCAGTACTGATTTTTATAAAAGAGTGACATCAAGAATGTAATGTGTTCAGTACTTCAGTTTTATAGAAACAGGACTGAATGCTGAAATGCCACCATATTCTTGGAATTTTAGAATCTATACATATACAATATATACACACGCACACGCGCACACCATAAGTCCATATCATATTATATACCATGTAGCCCGATAGACGATTTTTCAATGGGAAAACATCATTTTAGTTACTTGACTTGAATGGCTAAAAATTATCAAAAAGTTCTCGGATAGACATTTCTCAGACAAAGACATAGTGTATTAAACAGACTGAAACATATCTACTACTCCGTATATTTTTTGTAATTTAGTTCAAATGTTAAAATTTGGAAAATAATTAAAAACAAAGACATAATGAGACCACCTCTCAAAAGAAAAGAAGTTTTCTACATGCCCACCTCACAACTTCTATGGATTACATTGTTTGTTCAATTTTTCCTAACGCGCCTATATAATTTTACATATATGTCAGTAGAAAGTGTATATTTATATCTACACATATTGTTACAAAAATAATTATTTTGGTGCTAAAGATCATCTGATTGCTTGTACTTTTTCCTGAACTGACAGCGCCTATTCTATCAATGTTCTGCCTCATCCTACCAAAGAGCTAGCTCCCAGCCCGCCTGCCCTCTTAAAGCTTTGCACTTTTTAGATCATTATCTGTGCACGCATTATTTCCAAACACAGCTAGTTTGAAGTGATGTTTATGTATTTAATTATTTGGTTTCGAGTTTCTCATTTCATATGTCCATTCGTGTTAACCGACCCAAACTCTTTTGGGACTAATGCTTGGTTGTTGTTGTATTTCTATGTGCAGCTTGGTATTGTCTATGAAGCAATGGTATTCCCTTTGTGGTTGCATGGGCGAAGTGTCATAAAGTTTCTTGTTTCATCCACCTCCCCACAAACATCTGTAGGTTAGATAATATCTATTTCGTATTTGTTTTTCCATCATTTTTAGTGAAGCTAAATTTTCTGTATAGCTGTGTTATTTTCTTTAAATAATAAATTAATGTTATTCAGGTTATCTTGACAGGCTCACTAAACTGTCTGCGCTTCTTTGTTATGGAGCAGCAGTCAGTCCATGCAATCTTGGACGCGATTTTCACTATGGGTCATCCGGAAACAGTCTCTCTGTGCTTTAGTACAGGGGTAAGACTGCGTACATCCGACCCCCCCTTACCCCACCGTAGGTGGGAGCCTTTGCGGCACTGGGGTAAATGAAAATGAAAATGAAAATGAGGTTATCTTGACAATCACGTCGGTTAGCTGATGCTAATCTTAACCTACCAATAGTATTTGGTTTATTATCATAAAAAAAGATAATTATTGCACTAAAAAATGATTCCCATTAATACTTAATGCAACTGTGAGGGACTATACCTCAGTGCCTCATAGTGACTAGCTTGTGATGGATTGGCCTCAGCTAAATGAAGTCATTAAGCTGAGCAATCATGATGTAGAGTTCAACATGGTAGTAAATTAGTAATTAAATGGCCCAACTTAGTTGAAATGAGGTTAGTTGATTTGGGCATTGTGGATCTGATTTCAGGAGGTAGCTACATGGAGGACCTAATTGAGTCAGTTGCTCGCACATCAACTAGATGCTCTTCAGTTGAAGTAGTGTTGAGTGTTGTTTCTCGAGGCACGAGGGGTAGTCGGATTGTACTACCGGGGTAATAGTCAACTATGTGAGAGTAGGTGTAGCATCTTACTTGATAAATCATCATTATTAGGATTAGAGAGAAAATTCAGTTGGACCTCCACCAAACATGCTTATGTGGATCAAAATGCTTGGCTACTAAAACAATATTAATAAAAAGATTCGAGTGCGGAGAAGGTGCATATGTTAATATGAATGGTGAGACTAAAAAAGCAAAGTTTATGATAAAGAGATCTGCATGAAAGTTGGTGTAGTGACTATTGAATACTCCCTCCGTCCCTTGTAACTTTGCCATCTTTCTTTTTCTGGTTGTCCAAAAACATTGCCACTTTCCCGTTTTAATATACATGTATAATTCAACACTCCGTCAAGCTATGAAATTATGCTAAAAGTTTGACACAACCTGGATCATGAAACTTGATACTATTCTCTAAAGCCCAAACACTTGAACTAAACTTGATATTAGAATTTTGAAACTCTAATTTGGACTTCACTTGAAGTCTTGAACTTGATGGAACTCTGATTTATTTTGCCTCCAATCCAAGTCAATGGCACATAAAGGTTACAGGGTTTGTTTGGGATGAAAAGACAGTTGAACCGGATCCTCACAAACAAAAGTGGAAAAATTTCTCCATAAAATGGCTGAGACAGTTCAAATATTGGCACGTGCCAGCATATGGCCAGACCTTGTTAAAACTATGGTGGCACATGAAGATATGTGAAATGGAGTAAAATTGTTAGGGTTTTAGCTGTTGAGTGGGTTTATGAGGAGGTTGGTGTGGGTAATTTATGGAAGAGTGATCGAAGATGTTTCAAATGGAGGACACAATGTGACTTGTGATTCAATGATCACAAAAAAGTGTATGGTTAGGGACTCAGGGCCACAGGGTTTTGGAGTATTTTAGATGGA